AGAATGATAGCCCTCTGTATTTTTTATACTCCAAGCGCTCCGTTGTATCTTGAGCGATGATGAGAAGAATACTTTGAAAATGGATTTAGTCACAGAATCCTTGCATTAAAAATGTGCTATGTAACTTTTTGATCACCTGCTTGTTTTTATATATATATATGTCATTGCTCTGCCTGGAAAGTTCCACAGTATGACATTAACAGCTCTTAAAATACAGGTGGTTTTATAGCTCAAAAATACCTAGAAAAACAGGGGCTGTGACTATGAACGGGGTTGCCTCTCCACAGATCTGACCTGTAACTTGTCTGGTTTGGTTTCCACGATGATAGAAAGGTTTAGTACCGATTGAGGCCACTGAAATCAGGAAACGAGGCACGGACAGCATTAACCGTGATGACAGAGCGTTCCTCCTTTCACACCTGGGACACCCTCCTCCAGAGAACACCGGGCGACGGGAAGTAGGAAGTAACAACAGCTAATATATGACACGTCACCACCAACACCGGTGACAGTTCTGAAGATGGCTTGCAGTTAGCAGACAAAACATGTCAACAAAGTAAATACACTTTTAAAGGTTTAATATCATTCTGTGAAACCAAGCGAAAAAGAAACTGTACCATAAAACAGCTACTCAAAATTAGGATTCAAAATACATATTCTCTGTACATGTACCCAGTTTCTTCCCAACTTTGGTCTTGAGTATTGATGGAACTTTTGGCTCCTTTGTGGGAACTGAATCGTTTGGATCTGTTCACTTTAAAGAGTCGTTCAAAAGACTGGCTCTACTATGATTTATTTGTAAGACAGAAGCCAATGTGAGAACTCATTTTATCTACAAACTAATCACGGAGAGAAAAGGCTCAGATCTGTTTAAAACATTTCAAACTGAGAGTGGGACTGCACGTGAAACCTTTTGTAATTATGCATACTTTAAATAAAATGTTGCACTACAATATTAACAATTACAAAACTAACTATAATTTTGACGCCAAATGTGTTTTTTTTATGCACAAAGCTCTCACTTGTGCCTGCTCTGTTTGTTAGACTTACATAAACTTTATTGATCCACAAGGGAAATTATTTGGCTTCTGTACTGATTCTTCTGTTGGTTCAGCATTAATCAGTGTAAAAATGCATACAAATTAGATAGAAAAAGATGCTATTCTTTTAAAACATGAGATCCGGCTCCAACAATTTATGTTAAATAAAGAGTCTTGATAAACTTTCACGAACTTCACATCACTTTTGAGCCAGAACTAAATATGTTTGTGCAATAAGATTTGTGTTTTTCAGTGACACATGTGAAAGGAGCTCATTGGTCATTTATTATTTACAAACAAAATCACGTTTCTCTCACCTCAGATTAACAAAATTCAATGCTTCGCTCATTTATTCTGCAGAAATCCACAATAGTAGAGCTGTTTAATGTCATGGTGTGGAACATTCCAGGCAGAGCAGTGACATTATTCATAAAAACAACCACGTGACGGACCCCCAATCAAAAAGTTACACAAAGCACCTTTAAAGTCATAAACTGTTTTTGCCTCGAAAGTTGTAAAGTAATTGCCACTAACATCTTTTGAACCGGTCCTCAATTGCATCAGCTGTCACAAAAGCAAATGAACAAAGAAATGCATTTTGGCATATTCTTCTTGGATTTGTTATGATGTTATGATCACATTAGAATAATCAAATTGTTTCTCAAATCGGAGCTCATAAAAGACACTTCCTTGTTTGATGAATTCCTTCTGCACACACCACAGACATCCCCAGCTCCGTTCTCACTGTAAGATAGCCCTTTCTATTAATCTTTCAAAGTGTTTCCTATCTATTTTTCAGACTTCCCGACAATAACATTATAAAAAAATATCCTGCAGTGGACGAAAGACTGGAGAAAAAAGTTGTGGAAGTGGCTATTGGCTTTGGGGCATTTGTATATTTATGTTCAGTCTAGCTTATTATGCACATAGTCAAGTTTTGTATTTCTGCACACAAGGGTAAGAATTTCAATGTGTTTGTTGATTTCGCAAACTATAGTGGGGCAAGTACAGACCTTTGTGGGACTCCATAGCTATTTGTAAACAACCTATATCATTACTAGCCATGCATTTTTGAAACCTTGCTTGTTTCTACGGATATGTCACTGCTCTGCCTAGAACATTCCACAGTAAAACAAGTTGTGACCTGATTTAGATATTGTTTCTCTATTTTAAGACTGACCAAGTACTAAATAATGACATCAGACAGTACAATAAAATATTTCTAAATGTTTGTATGAACTGGACTGGAGTTAGTATTACAACTTTATATAATGGTAGTGTCTTTAATTTCACCGTGTAGTATTATTCTAGTTCAGATATAGATTCAAGACTATTGAGGAAATGTTTTGAATCAGCAAGTGCACTGTTTGCATGCTAGTTGTTAGCATTACTGTGATGGCAAAACTTGTAAAAAGTTGTTAAAAGCGCTCAGATTGCATAAGGTAAGTGAGCAATACTTTTGGACCAGTGCAAACCGGTTACAATGAACAATGTTTTTAATGTTTTTAATCTTCTTACAAAGCTTTTTCAGAGCATAAACTATCATATGTCTAGTCTATACAGCTTTTTCTATGCACATAATCAACTTCTGTATTTCTGCACACTACACAAGACTAGGAATTTCAATATGTTTTTCTATTTGGGCCAAGTACAGACCCTTGTGGTGTGCCAGTTTAAATGATTGGTAGCCATGCATTTTTAAGTCGACTTTTTAAGACTTGCTTGTTTCTTGTTGTTTCTGGGTAAAATATAAATTTTATCACCATGACGATAACATGACTATGATTGCAAAACTCCTATTTAGTGGATGAATATTGTAAAAAAGCACGTATAAACTTATCGCAGTGAATAGTTAATAGTAAACTGGTAAGTGAGCAATATATCTAAACTGCTGCAAACTGTTGAAAATTCACTAATTCTTTTTTTTTTTTTACATTTTTAATCTGTGTATGACATGCAATCTTTTTCCAGAACATGAACAATTCTGACATGTTTTCCCAGGGGAACCCATATGGTGGAATTACCCTTTACGTGCATTACGCTACCTTTGAATAGCACACTCCCACAACTTCTCCAAACTATTTATCTTATACCCCTCTTTACAATGCAGTTAAGACAATGTACTGAAACGATGGTGTTGGATAAGCAGCTCCACACACAAAGCCCATTTTTAGAAACTGGATCAAACATTGTAGCTAACTTCCTCTCTGCTCATATGTTATCTGTAATGGAAAACAATAGTGCAGTGGACATAGATTTGGATACTAGCCAATGAACGTCTATGAGGGACGCCTCATGCATCTCTTGGGGGTTGGGGGTCCTTGACCTGCTTGTTTCTGTGGATATGTCATTACTCTGCCTGGAATGTTCCACAATATGACATTAAACAGCTCTACCTTACATGCATTCAGATTTATAGCTCAAAAATGCCTAGAAACACTTTTTGACTGTAAGAGGGGTCGCGTCTGACTTGTAACTTGGTCTGGTTTGGTCTCCATGAAGATAGAAAATGTTAATACCATCCTGTGAAACATTCCAGACAAATCAATAACATCTCCATAGAGACGAGCATTTGACGGACACAACGCACCTTTAAAGTGCCTATGACAGGTTGTTGTAGAAGTATTCAGCTTGTCCAAGAAAGGGTGGAAGTAAAAGGCTGGAGATGGAGCCGAATGTCTTAAGCAGGAGAATTTTATTTACCATCAATAATAAGGGGCCGGGGGGACATGAAAAGTCAACATAGTATGACTTCAAAAGAGAACATAGTATGATTTTTGAGTGTTCGAGCCCCTTTACTAAGCTTCCAGAGGAGGAGGTTTATAAATTGGTGAGACTATGAAGGCCAATAGGCTCCAGTTAGACAGAAATATGCCACAATTTAGGTAGTGGTATGCCAGTGGTATGCCAAGGGAAGATCATGGTGTAAATATAGCTTTTGTGAGTCAATGTTAAACAGAGATGCACATGGAAGATAAATTACTTAAATTCTCTCACACAGGTTAGAGTACTCATTTGACTAAAATACAGTTAAGATCACTATATTGAAGATTTAGAAGGAAAAAAAATAAAAATTCACACTTGTTTTCCCAGTTTGGCAATTTTTTTTAGGTTTTATATTGTACTTCCTGGTTGGAAATGGTGAACACTAGGAAATTCCATAACTGTTGCCAAGCTAAACTCTTCTAATGCACACTACATTATTATTTATCAAATACAAATATAAGAACATACCTTTATTTTGTTGAAATCACATTTAACTAATCAGATAAATGTGTTTCTTACATGTAAAATGTGACAAACTTTTGGATATTATTCTAGAGTGATGCCATGAGTATGTTTAATAATTTTCAACATATTTTTCAACTTTTCTTCACAAATTGCTTCTTGATTGGTATAAAACCTATTATAATTTATATTTACAATAGTTATAATAGTCCCACCAAATTAAGTCAAAATTAGACAATCATAAAAATCTGTCATACACACTTTAACAATGGTATGTAGTTCTTATTTGTCTTGAATGACATAAAATCAACTCTTGTGAGCAATAGTTTTCAAGTTAACAGCTACCATTTGCTTTTAGTTCGGTAGAGATTGGCAATTCCAGGGCGGAAATCACCCAAATGATTCTAGTGAAGGTATATGGAGTTTAAAATCACAATGGAGCACTTCCTGTATTAAAGCATGATATAAAGCATGAACTCAGCCTAAATATACAGGGTTTGCATGTTAAACATGTGCGGACAAAACAATATAAAACACCAGGTATGTTTGTGATGAGGAAACAACATTATAACATGAAATAAAATAGATGAGAAAATTGAGGAATACAAACCCTTTAAGTAGCAGTTGCCTGTACAGGAAGGAGAAGGTGGAGTAGGGACAAGGGGCGGAGGGGAACTGGACCACTTGAAAACAAAGTGACGCACGCTATGACTCACAGAGAAGCCCTGAGAGGGACAGGGGAGAGGTTGCGAAGAGGAAGACCCAAAACACTGTATCTTTAGTGCATTTTGGTGTCATCTGAAAAAGGACAACTCCGGTTAAAAGTGCAGCAAGGCAGATATGGCATGTGCTTTGAACAGTGGGTGTTATTTAAGGCCATAAAGTCTAAAAACCTGCAGAAGAAGAAGAGGGGAGTGAAGGGGACGGACTGCGGCTTTGTGAAGGTAAGAGAATATCACTTTAGATAGGCCTGGGAGAGGAGGTTGTCAATGGAGTGGTTGTTTCAGTCTGGAATTTGCCTAGTTGTTCATGCATGAGGATAGGGTCTCAGGTTTTAAAGTGCATGTGTGTATGACTTTAAACAGCTCTATCTTACATTTATTCAATTACAAGCTCAAAAATACCTAGAAAAACATGCATTCTGACTGTGAGTGGGGTTGTCTCCCCACAGATCTGACCTGTAACTTGGTCTGGTTTGGTCTCCATGAAGATAGAAAGGTTTGTTAATTGTGAAAACATTGTGAAACATTCAAGAAAAAGCAAGAACATCTTTATGGAGACAAGCATTTGACAAACCCTCCACCAGAAAAGTTACACAATGCACCTTTAAAGCCCCAGTGAGTAACATTTTAGCCAGAAAATACACTAAAATAAAAGCAGGCTATTTTTTATTTCTGTTTTTGCACTGAAAATCGTAGAAAAACTTGTGTCTTGACTATGAATGGGCTTGTCCCTTGCTTGTTTCCATAGCAATGTGGTTTATTTGGCTGTAATCTTTTCACAGTATAAAACAAATCAATCTTCGTGGAGAATGTTCCGAAGTATAGATTTATCTTTGTATTTGTACGGAATGACATGCTACCGCCACAATGTTATACTTGCTTCAGTTTGAGTTTGATTTTCAGTTTTTCATTTTAATACAGGTTTAATTACAACTACACTAATTAAAGCAACCAATTGCCAACTTTTATCTCACATTTGGCTCAAGGACATAGTGAAAAGCCTTTAACTAAAAACAAATAAGTAACAGTATTTTTGCCTGCAAGTCTTTAGAGTCCCCTGGCTAAAATTGAAATCTCTTCAAACCAAACAACTATTCAAAGTATAAAAGTACAAAAGAGTTTTCAATTTGACTATTTGCTTTAGAAAACTAACTAACTAACTAACTAACTAACTAACTAACTAACTAACGAGAGTTTTTAAACTGTGAGGGCTCTGTACAACAAGCTGCAAAAATAGGCTATTTACTGGTACCTTTAATTCAAATGGTCTGAATATGAAATCTGTGGTAGTGCATCCTTTAAATATAATGTAATAAATAGTATTGTATTCTTCATATTAAAGGTGCACTATGTAACTTTTTGGTTAGGGGTCAGTCACCTGCTTGTTTCTATGAATATGTTATTGCTTTGCCTGGAATGCTCCACAGTGAGATGTTAAACAGCTCTACCTTATATTTATTCAATTACAGGTGGTTTTATAGCTCAAAATTGCCTGGAAATATACCTAGATATTCTGACTGTGAGCGGGGTTGCCTCTCCAAAGATCTGACTAATAACTTGACCTGGTTTGGTCTCTGTGAAGATAGAAAGCTTTAATACCACACTGTGAAACATAGACAAAGCAATAATATCTCCATGGAGAAAATCGATGGACCCTCCACCAGAAAAGTTACACAATGCACCTTTAAGTGTTATATCTGAACAGGTACAACACAATTTCTGATAAGTTTTGGCCAACACTGAGCACTGTAAGGATGAGTGACTCTGTGCAGGTGTCTATAGTCAACTAGCTAAACACCTCTGACAAATACTGTCAACGGAAATTGTAGCAAGCTTTGCCAAAAAGTCAGTTTGGCAGGACTAAACCAGTACAAATAACATATATTGTTTTTGTTATGCTGTACTTTTACAAAATACTTTTTTAAAGGTCCTATATTACACAAAATGGACTCTTGTGTGCTTTAAGCCATGTTAGAATGTGGTTACCTCATCAAAAGCATACCTGAAGTTGTTTTTTGTTTCATTCATATGTAACCAAGTGATGTAGATCCCCTTATTAAACTACTCACACAATCCATTCTGGCATAAAAAGAACAAAGGCAATGTTGTATAAAAAGTCACAAATTGTTATTTAATATTCTAGATATTTTAAAATAATTAAATTTTCTTTTAGGTACAGAACTAACTAACAAATCAACCATTGTAAATGCAGGATTCAACCCACCCCTAACTAAACCCAACAAAATCAAAGTTAGTAATCTCAAACCAAACATTAATGAAAACAAACCAACTAGTTAAACCCTACATTTACAATAAGTTAAAGTGCCAGTGCTACGTAAACATGAATGCTGTAATAATTTGTACTTAAAGTGCATGTGCCAAGGTATCTGAGGTAGGCTTTGTTAAGTTAAAGTGCTAGGTGTGTGGTCTTGAGGTGCTCTGAGAAATCAGATGGTTAAAGTGCAAGGTGCTACTGCATTACATTATCCTCTATTGCACATACTTCCCCAACCAATACATATACACGCACTATAACAACTACACTAACTATACAGATAAATGGAACTTATGGGCGAATTTTGAGATCAGACTTTGCGAGACAATTCAAGGAGATTTAAGAGAATCTGAGAGAATTTAAGAGCAGAAAAACAGCAGCACTAGTGTAATCTGGATTCTAGAAGGAGGGCACTCTACAAAGGTACATTTTGTTCAGTAGAGATTGGCAATTCCAGACCTGAAATTATCTAATGAAGGTGTATGGAGTTTTAAAACACAGTAGAGCTCTTCCTGTATTACCACATGATATCACGATGTGGAACAGAGTGCTTTCTATTTGAGAGAAGAACTCAGTCTAAATAGGCAGAGTCTGTGTGTTAAACATGTGTGAAGGAAACACAATGTTGATAAGGAAACTACATTATGACATAGATCAGAAAATAGTGTAATATGGACCTTGAAGCCTAATTCCATGTCCTGGTATAATCCTGCATTAGACTTTATACCTTCTATTGCACATTAATTATTTGTAACATGCAGGACTGGGCTGTGCTTGAGGGCTGTTTCGTTGGCAGCACACACGGCTCCATTCGTTCCAAGTTCTCACTGTGGTAATGTGCCAGTGGTCCCCGAATAAACAACTCAATCATAATATAGTAAAACAATATAGTAACACATGATAACTGGCCCATTTGTTTTGACATACTGTTAGAAGTGCCATGTGAATGTGCCACACGGAGAAGAGGAAGCCCAGTGTTTTTCTATGGCGTCATGGGTACATTCTTTTGTTCATCAGCAGGTACCATGGATGTGCTGTGCTTCCTGAGCTGGAGGCTGGTCCCTGTGCTCCTGTTGAGTAAGGATGTTTTTGTTATCATTATCATTTTAATCATTTTTGAAACTGCAGGAAGTGGGTTCGATTGGTTTGTAAGAAAACATTCAGCTGTGTAAGGTACAAAACCAAAGTGTTACAAAAAACAGATGTGAAATTGTGATGAGTAATTTTGCTTCTTGCTGAGTAAAAGTACAAATATATTTTAAGTTTGAAATAGTCTGCCACTTAAAGCCACAATATATAACAATATGTAGCCAAAAATAGGCTAGATTGAAAAAATAAAAAAAATTGCATCTCCTCAAACCTGAGTCATATTTGGCCTGGAGAAGGTTGTTTTACTTTTTGGCTATAAATATTCCACAGTATGGCATGAAACATCTATTCTATTTCCATGCAGGCAACTTCCAGAAAGTTACATATTGTACTTTGACTGAATTGAATGAAGGAAAACAAACAAATCCCCTATAACAATCAATCCAAGTTAAATTGTATAGCCTATTTTATGAACAAAAAAAAAAGTGCTGCACATAGCAATGTAAAACATCTAAACTCTAACATGTCGATAGCAACAAAAATAATGTTTGGGCCAAACTTTTTTTTTTTTTTTTTAGTAAGTAAGTAATAGCAATGGAACATTTTTCTAAAATAATAGAACTTATGTAGATATCCCTATAGAGAGGCTTAAAGGGACAGTCTGGAATTATGGACATAGGACCTCATTTCCTAGTGAGCCAGAGTGTTGGAGACGTGTGGAGACACTTTTTAAAATATTCCATCCAGTCCTTGTATTTGCAGAGGTCACTGGTGCTAGGCTAGTGCATGTCAATGGCCATAGTTAGCCTGCCACTAAAAACAGTCTTACCCACTCCACAAAACACCTGAAGCAAGTCTATTATTATGCCAGAATGTGAATGTCTGTGTCGACAGAATAATTTTAGAAGTAAAACCAACCTTGCATTTGAAAGATTTATGTCTGAGCAGCAGCAGTGAGTTGTACTTCCTGATAGAAAGCTCAGCAGCGACAGACTGATATCAGCTAGCACCTACCTTACTGGCAAAGTAAAATTCCATTGCTGAGAAAATAGTCCCTCAACATGCGACGATTCATGCGATGCAAGTTTAGTTTTATTTCAAACATTATTCTGTCATCACAGACATTCACATCGACAGTGTGGCATAGTAATAGATTTGCTTCTGGTGTTTTGTGGAGTGGGTAAGCTAGTGGCAGGCTAACTGTGGCCATTGACATGCACTAGCCTAGCACCAGTGACCTCTGCAAATACAAGGACTGGATGAAATATTTTAGACAGTGTCTCCACATGTCTCCAACACTCTGGCTCACTAGAAAATGGAGTCCTTTGTCCAAACTTCCGGACTGTCCCTTTAAAGAGTCTGTGAAATACTGTGACAGTATGTGAGATTGATTTACAATTTCATAAACATGACTCATCTGTGTCCCCAAATGGTAAACATGCTCAAATTAAATAAAGTTTGGACATGATGCCAAAGTTGTTTATGTTATAATTTGACTTTTTAGTCTCAAAAAGATTACCCAGTCAGAAAGCAAAATGAGCCTCTCAAGAGTGTCTCATTTGGATTGCCAGTTTCAGTACTGAAATCCAGCTGTTTTAAACCTAAAAGACTCTCTCTGATCTGGAGCTTCTCTGGCTAAACCGTAGCACCTGCAGAAAAGCATGATTCAGTGCTAGTGCAGCCTCTGCAGCTCAGTGAGTCCATTCTGTAGGTCTCAGAACCTCTTTCACATGAAGCATGGCCCTTCTGTATTGTGATTATGAGGCTGGCAACCCAGGTCCAGCTGTGATTGAAAAACCTCTGTACCTTTAAGTGCTAGAGATCTGTACAATTTATATCCAAGGTCATTTTTACTATTATACTTGAAAACAACTTATCCTACTGAACACTTTCTATCAGTCCTCCTTTATATTACATTTCATAAAGGGTTCATTAAAGCTCACATTTGTTTCAGTGTTAAATGAACTGAATAAAATAAGTGTCCCACAGTTGCACAAGTTACAGTTTACCTACATTACAATAATGGCTAATGTGCAACAAAGCAAATTATCTCTCCATAAATGTAGCATAGAGTTCAATGCCCCCGTGTACATAATTACTATTGTAAGTCAGTAATTAACAATCACAAAAGCACTACTATGATTTAATTATGAAACAAATGATTGACAAGGTTATGGAGAGGAGTACCTGCTGAGTGGGAGGTGAGAGAGAGTGAGAGTCTCTGCTGCACTGGTGCACTAACAAAACAACAAAAGCACTGTACCTGATTTTTGTCTTATAGCTCCTATATTACACAAAATTTAATGCATGTGAGCTTTAAACTATGTTATAATATTGTTACTGCAGATAAATTGTGTTTTGTTTCATTCACACATGTTTGAGGTACTCTTTTTATTAGTCTGTGTACATCTCCAAAGCTCAAAATGCTCTGTTCCACCTTGTGATATCACATAGTGGTAGTTTTCCCTTTAACCGATACCTTTTACTTTAGTTCAGAAGAGATCGGTAATTCCAGGGCTGAAATCATCCATATGATTCTAGTGAAGGTATGTGGAGTTTAAAAACACAGTGGAGCACTTCCTGTATATGATATACTCATATCATGTGTTTTTAGTTTGAGAAAAGAACTCAGCCTAAGTATGCAGGGTTTATGTGTTAATGTGTGAATGAAACAAAACACAATTTTAGGTATGGTTTTGATGAAGAAACAACAATATAACATAGATCAGAAAATAGCATAATATAGGTCCTTAAAAAAAACAAAAAAGCAAACATAACAGATCTTTTTTTTTTTTTTTGTGGTCCAAAGTTATTTTTCACTTACAATATGTATTCTGAGTATCCTAATTATTCACCATGATGAGTTTATAAGGGCTTTTCACAACTCTCAGAGACCAGAGCGGTAAAGAACAACAAATCTTCCACATTATTAAACAATAAAATGCTTTATAATGCAGACAGCAGACTTATTTTGACCTCAAGAGCTGCTTATACAATATATCTGTACTGGGGCAAGACACATTCAGCAGCTGTGTGTAGTTTTTTAGGTACAAATGAATATAATCCACAGCTTGCTAGTGTGATGTGCATACACTAGAAAAAAAAAAAAAAAAAAAACAATACCTAGATAAGTTAAAATGACTTAAATTAAGATCATTTTACTTGACAAGTAAAATGATCTACCAATGGAATAAGTGTGTTTTTCTTAATTCAAGCAACATTTGATTTAGTTTCTTATTTTAAATGCAAAAAGTTGTTATTTTTCTTATTTTAAGTGTAGCAAGACGTATTTTCATATTTTAAGTACAAGAAGTCTTGTTCCAAAGGCAGATAGTTTTACTTGTCAAGTGAAATTTACTCAAATTATAATAAATTTTTTTTAATTCAAGTCATCTTAACTTGAGTAGATTTTGTTTTTTGCAGCGTAGGAGGGGCTGACAGCTGCACAGATGTTTACAGCGACATCAGCTCCCATTGAGCATGGCAGTTTTTAAAGGAAAATTAGCAGAATTATTTCTTTTATTAAAGGCGCACTTTGCAACTTTTCCGCCTTGTTTCTATGGATATGTCATTGCTCTACTTTAAATATTCCACAGTATGACATTAAACAGATGACTTTGCATTCATTCAATTACAGGTGATTTTATAGCTCAAAAATTCTGACTCTGCACGTGGTTACTTCTCCACAGATCTGACCTGTAACTTTTGGTTTGGTCTCTGTGAAGAGAGAAAAGTTTAACACCATTTTGTGAAACATCTCAGACAAAGCAATCACATCTCCATGAAAAACAGGTGGGAGACTCACTAGAAAAGTTACATAATGCATCTTTAAGTTATTTTAGATCAATATTGCGATTTAAAATGTCAAAATGATAACATAATGATCCATGCACGTCATAAATTCAAACGGTAGAGCAGACAGAAGCACAATATGTCTTCTTTAAACTACCTCCTACATCAGTAAACACCTTACATAACTGTGCACACTACACATTACTTACTGCAGGTTCAGAAACAGATTTTTATTATTGATGCAGCTTGATGGATATTGCATTAGGCATGGTTGTCATCTCCCATAAATCATACAATAACATAAGTTGACAGAATGCAGGAATATACATATGCATAAAGAAGTACATGACGAAGACAAAGTAGAACGCTATATATATTGTGGGCCGTATAACTCTTATTATGCCCAAATACAGAGTCTATATAGTTATTGATTTGTTGCTAAAAGGTTCGGTCTGATGGATGGGGGAAATTAGTACAATAGTGAGTAGGATAAACAGGCATGTAAAATGGAACTGCTTAAACAATAGACAGTAATTCATTAAAATAGATGTAAATAAACTTTTAATTTATGAGAAAATGTCTACAGGGTCGCCCCCCGCACCCGGAGCGTGGGAGGCAAAAACTTAACGTATTTTCAATACTCAAATTAACTAGTAATAATACAGGTCAGGTGTAACTCACCATCCCCCCCCGGATGTTGTTTGGTTTCTATTTGTTGCAATGTATGTAGTTTGCAAAAAAAAAGAAAATGTCTACAGGAGCTTCAACAACAGATAATAGAAAGTAAAGATTTAGCATTTTAGTTTGTGTTTAGTTCACCATGGTAACAGACAGCAACGTCCATATATTTACATGATCCAAAACAGTACAACTGCCTTCACTAACCTTCGCTGTTGGATTATCGGCTTTAATAGTTTGCTGAATGTCTCCCTAATACTGTCCAGAGCAGACAGACTGTACCTCCCCCACCATCTGTGTCCAAAGAGGGATTCAAAAACAGTGACTCTCCAAACTGATCTGCGCAGCCCTCTGAATTGAGTTCTACACATCAATCTGGAACAGCTCGCAGTGAAAGAGTTCAGAACCAATGAGCGTAGTGTTCAAACAAATACTTCACGCTGATAGATCAAAGCGTCACAAGAGCAGAACACGCTGAAAAATCAAACGTTTGTTACATTCAGTTGAGAGAAAAGCACTGATCTTACCTGTCCACAAATGCACAAAGTGCTTACCTCTCCAAAAATGAAATTATTGGTATTTTTGGTAAAATAGACTGAAGTATGTCTCCCAGCATTTGTTTTGGTTCAGTCACTGTTGGCTTCCTCCCAAACCACAATGTTACGCTGTGATTGGTCAGTCTCCATCCCACCAGTGCTGTGGAAGAATTCATGTTGCTGTCAAGATGACCTTGGACGTCTCTAAGACGACTGAGAGATTACACACGCGTGTCATATTTGATTGTCTTGTGTTGTTTTTCATCATTATATGTTTTTTCCTCAGTCCCGTGCACCTGTAACTCCATAACTGTGCGGATCTTGAATGAGGAGCCGGTACATGTGATGCCCGGCTCTGACCTGCTACTTCGTGCCCACATCGAGGCCTCCCCCCAGGACCAGTTCTCGAGGGTCACATGGGAACGAGAGACAGAGAACGGCCCCACCCCCAAAAAGCTGGTACTGGCCACGTGCCCCCGCAGCAGCCAGAGTCCCTGCGCTGGGACCAGGCCAAACGTGCTGGCTAAACTGGGGGAAAAGGAAAGCACGCTCCAGATCAGTGGATACATGTCAGCGGACGGAGGGGACTACATTGTGACTATAACGCAAAAGAACGGAAACAAGACCAGTGCGCGGTGTATTGTCAGAGAGTATGGTGAGTATATATTCAACAAAGAGGGTTTATTTAATGGGTAAATGTTGGAGGTTTATGAATAACAGGTAGAGAAGAAGTCAATGATGGGGACAAAGTTCCTTTGTAAACAGAGGAAGGTAAGATTATCAAAATATTTACCTGGGATCCAGAATACACACTTCTTAAATACAAGGATGTGTGTCTGATCACAGGTGAATCTAACCGTTTTCAAATGAGTGTGATTAACAGGTGGATTAGCCAATCAGGGACACACATGGTTCGTCTGTTTCAGGAAAAAGGGGAAGGAAATCACAGAGGACTAAAAACCATAGTGTATTTCTACAGAATCAATGAGCGAAGCACTAAACTGTTGGTCTGATGGGAGAGAAATGTGATTTTATTTGTAAATGATAGGTGAACAATCCATCACTGAAAAAAAAAAAACTGATCTGACAGCACGATCACATTGATGATTGAGCTAGAGACTCAACAGATGGTGTGAGGATCAGAGTGACTTCAGTCTAAAAAATACTGAGAGATGTTCTGGATTTGCCAGGCTATCAAAAAGTATGTACCCATGACTTGTTATGCTGTTATGGCTCAGTGCACACAGCCTACATAGTAGCACATGTGCAGATGGCACCACTGGGCCAAGGTACAGGTGAAATCTGTGGAAAGGTGACCCTGCCAAGAAGAAGGGATTTTTGAGTAACAACTGTAGTAGGTGGATAGAAATATAAATTAGCGCATTCCAGGTAAACCCCTGTTTACTTTCCACACTTCCACACAAAAATATTATAAATTTTTACAAATAACGAGTTGTACTTCATTTGAAACTAAGTGTTCTAGTTAAATGTTTATAGTAGGCTGCTATCATCAAAAACAATACAACACAAAACACTATGACAAGGCTGTAAATGAAATCAGTCTCAAAGTCTAACAGTGTTTATTTACCATGGCACAGTCAAACCCACATGCTGTCTTACTTATTTGGGTCTCAAGTGTAACATGTGGGCCAATGTTGTGTTGCTTGTATTTTTGGCAGGTCACCAGGCACCAATCTTAAAAAGGCCCACATTACTCTTCTGATCTGTGTTAACATGTTGTTTCCTCATCACAAACATACCTGGACTTGTGTTCTGATTCACAAACCCTGCATATTTTGGCTGAGTTGTTCTCTCAAACAGAAAGCACTCTGTTTCACCTTGTGATGTCATGCGGTAATACAGGAAGTACTCTACAGGGTTTTTAAACTCTTCACATCTTCACTATTCATTTGGATCATTTCAGCCCTGCAATTTGCAATTAGCAGTGAACAAAAGATAAATGGTAGCTGTTGAAAACTACTGCTCCATGACATCACAAGATGGAACAGAGCATTTTCAGCTTTGTAGATAGACAAAATAAATAATAAATAAATAAATAATAATTGTTACTCGAGCATGTGTGAATGAAACACTGTTTTTGTGGAGAAAACAACATTCTAACATGGCTTAAAGCTCACAAGAGTCAGTTTTGTGTAATATAGGTTGTGCACCAAGGTGTTTCCGAGTGAATCGTAGAGTTGGTTTCCCATAAGAAAACCAATATTTCAGTACTGTATATTTCACCTACGTAACCACAACAAAACTCCTAAATGCATGCAATAAGTGATGTCAAAGAAGATCAACAGGGCATTTTTTAGCTTTAAGGCGACCCAAAATCCAGTTCAGGGGGCCCTATTCTCTGGCCTGACAAAAGCCAAATTGATTCAAAAGTTAGAACACCAATGTATCAAAAATGAATAGCCATGTCAACAGTCCTGATTTGTTTTGGTCAATCTGCCACCTAAAAAAATACACTCAAAGCTTTAGTTGAACACTTTCATGCAAATAGATAACTGCTCAGAACGTGAATATGTGGCGCTCTTAAAGGTTTATGATAAAAAGGGACTGTAAGTGAGTTTGTTCTAAGTCAAAATCTCATAATTTGGTGAAAATAATCAAAATCGGCTCCACATATCATTCCCAAAAAACATCGACAAAGCTTATCGGCCATCGCTTGCGTTAGATTCTCAAAACTCACAATTTAAAAAAAGAAAACATATAGGTCCATCTCTCTTGAAACTAAGAATGGGACAAGATCTCATGGCAAAAGATCTCAAAAAACAATGTTCATATTTAGCTCAAACTAAAAAATGGTTAAGAGCTGGTTAGGTTCATCTCTTGAGAAGCCATAGTTCCAAAAAGCAAACAAAAATATAAAACAAATAATCCCCAAGTGAACTAAACCGCACCAATTTTTTATTATAAATTACATCAAAATTTTGTCTTGACTCATTATTGCACAACTTTTCTGGTGGACGGTCTGCATCTTCCACTGCAAAATTACAGCATGCAGCTTGACATTAAACATATGTATTTCTGTTTCAAATCGCTCTATATTTATTAAAACAACACAAGAATATGCACCGCCACAGTCTTTTGTAGCGCTAACTCCCCCAATTACCAACACTGTGTAATGAGCACACTTTTGTTCAGCACCAGCAGGCATTGTTTCCTCTCTTGCCATATTTAATAACGAAACACTTGAAATCCAACCGCCCATAGGCTCGGCTAGCTTTGTTGTTATTCTCTTTGTTTCTGTGAGTGGAGAGGTTTTCAGATTTTCAGTGCTTTCTTGCCTTACTGTATCCTGCATTTGTCAAAGCAATTTCCCCCAATGCAGTATCCATTCATCTCTTTGGTTCTGCAGTACGTTGTCAAGGTTGTCCATCATCTTCTGTACTTTTCGAGGTTCCGCCTGCCTCACTGGTGTCGTTATTGTCCCCGAAAGTGAAGCTGTTCCTCGTGACAGCGCTAAATGTTTCCCATGATTCTTTGTGTCGAGTTGTAGCGGATAGCGGATAGAGTGCAATTGTTCTGTTTCTAGTGACGGGGGAACGCGCATGAGTGCCTGTCACCCGATCATGAGTTTTGTCAGATTTTATGGTTTAAACTTTATGGTGTTTTTCGGGATGTGTTAAAGTGGTGTGTTAAAGTAATGTAGCTGAAAGTTCCCAATTTTTGCAGATATTAGTGACGGCACGTTGGCGTTGAATTGACAATTGAGATTTTTTTTTTTTTTTTTTTTACACAGAGGGCCTGGTTATGATTCTATAAAAGAGGAATGGAGCGCTTGAAAACTAAAAACGTGGACTTATTATGTTAACTTTTGTCATTTAATTTTTATGTTGATTCAAGGTACATTTTAAAGATAATTTACTTAAATTGTAACATTATAAACATATTAATGCAGGGTATGTACTGTATATGCAGTGGTGGAACGTAATGACGTATAGTCCATCAGTCCATCCATTTTCTTCTGGTTATCCGGAGCCTCCTTCATGCCCGGAACACCTCCTGAGGGAAGTGTCCGAGGCATCCGGAACAGATGCCAGAGCCACCTCAGCTGGCTTCTCTCGATGTGGGGGAGCAGTGGCTCTACTCTGAGCTCCTCCCTTGTAACCGAGCTCCTCACCCTATCTCTAAGGGAGCACCCAGCCACCCTGAGGAGGAAACTCATTTCGGCCGCTTGTATCCGCGATCTCATCCTTTTAGTCATTACCCAGAGCTCATGATCATAGGTGAGGGTAGGAATGTAGATTGACCGGTAAACTGAGGGCTTTGGAGGTAAACTATGTCGCTGTTTGGTTGTGGGTCCATCATGTACTTGTTTCTATGCTTTGCCTGGAATGTTCCACAGTATGACATTAAACAATTTTATTTTGTTTTAAAAATCTGATTGTATTTTTCCCCTCTACTCTTGTGTTTACAGAGGCGGTGCACCACGTCTCTGTCAGTATAAACGTGTCCCACTCTGTGCTGGTGTGTGGAGAGGCCTGGGGGACAGAGCCTCGCTTCAGCTGGCTCTACAACAGGAAGGCCGTGACCCAGAGTGTGGGGCAGGTGTCCCAGGATGGCACCCAGCTACGCATCACCCAGAACCCCATCTGCGGAGTCTTCACCTGCATGGTTCAAAACAAGCTGGGATACGCCACCGCCACCTACACTGCAGGTCAGACATCCGTACCATGAACTCGTAAAATGGATTCATGTCAGCATTTGTCGTGTTAGAATGTTGTTTAGTAGTTGTGTTTTGTTTCAGTTACACATGTTTGAGTAACCCTTTATTATTCGTCTGTCTACATCTCCAAAGCTCAAAATGCTCTGCTCCACCTTGTGATGTCATGAAGCAGTGATTTTGAAGTTTACAGCTACCTTTTACCTTTAGTTAAGGTTTGAAATCATCGAAATAATTCTAGTGAAGGCGTACGGAGTTAAAAAAAAAAAAAAAAAAAACACAATGGAGCACTTCCTGTATTCCCACATTTTATCAGGGTGTGTGCTCAGGGTTTTTTAAACATGTGTGAATGGAACAAAACACAACTCCAAGTATGTTTGTTATGAGGAAACAAAATTATAACAGAGATCAGAAAATAGTGTAATATGGGCCCTATATATCATACAAACTATTTGCGTAGAGGCCTGTGTAATCCCTCAGTCATCCAGGTACCCATAGCAAAAAACCTTTGTCAACTGGACAAAAGTGTGAAGTGTGAAGAGTGAATACATTTTGCCACTCATCCAACCAGCTAACAAACAGAAACTGTAAACAAAGATAAACAAATATAAGGCCGCGTCCACCAGCAATCTGACCAGAACTGAAGAAGTCACTTGGACGACCGGCGAAACATCTGTACTCTGAAAGGTTTGTCCAGTTGACAGAATTTAATTTTCTTTTGCTATGTAGAGCCGTGATTTTCAACCAGTGCCTTGGGGCTGTACCAGGTGTGCTTTGACAATTTTTGGAGTTTCCTGAGTAAATTTCTGATCCAAAAAATAAAGTAAACAATTTCCAAATTTAAAAAGGGCTATTATGCAAACTCAATCTATATATTTATCTTATTTTCCCCCCATGTTATGATGTTGTTCCCTCATCCAAAAGATGCCTGAAGAGTTTTTATATGCCATCCATAAATGTTTCAGTAATATAGTGATCTCTCCCAGGCCCTATTTGAACCGTCCTTGCAGTTAGCTGTAAGACACATGACTATTCTCCACAAATATACAAAAGCATGATACAAAACTGTACACAACAACTTGACAAACCTGATGCAATGTCGAGTAGTTTCATTGGCGAGATGCATGCTGATTGTGTTGTAATCGTGTTCTGAAGGGGCAGTGACTTAGCTTGGGGAGCAAAGGGAGGAGACAGCCTAATAATAAAGGGTTATTCAAGCATGTGTGAATGAAACGAAACACAACTCAGGGTATCAGGAGGCAACAGCAAGGTTTAAAGCTCACAAGAGTCAGTTTTGTGTAATATAGGACCTTTAAAAAAAAAGAAGTTCTGATCGACTTCCCTTTCAAACCTTCTCTTTCGATGCCACTCTATCCATCTTTACCCCTGTCTGGTGTCACTCACTCACTTCTCTGTTATGTATTATGTCTATGTGAGCAGACTGCTGATCGTACACAATTCTGGGAGTTGTCTCGGCAGCCATTTTTCTGTGATAAAGCATTTTATAGTGAGAGATCGATAACTCACCCACTCCATAACTGCTCTACTGCTGCAACTTATGCTATACATCCCAGACAAATGCATTTCTGTGCAGGCTTTGATTTATATATTTAGACTTCACTACAGACCTTATAGAGCTGAAAGATGGATTTTGAGTTGTTTGGGTAATATAAAATACTCAACTGGAACTTAGTATGAGATAAGGGTTGTAGTTGTTGATATCAATACTTTTATGGCAAGGCTCACAAACTAAAGTAAAGTTGAGGTAAAGTTCACAAAGTTTTTGTTGCTGTTGTTCAGCTTTCAAAACTGACGTTTGTAAGCCATGAAAATAGGAAGTTGGTATTTTAAAGTCCTATATTGCACAAAGTTACCGCTTGTGAGCTTTAAGCCATGTTGTAATGTTGTTCCCTCATCAAAAACATGCCTGGAGTTGTGTTTTGTTTCATTCACACATGTTTGAGTAATCCTTTTATCAGAGGTGAGGACTTGAGTCACTATTTTAGGACTTGAGACTTGACTTGATAAAAACTGACTAAGACTTGGGACTCAGCTTGGACTTGAAGGTCAGTGACTTGGGACTTGACTCAGACTTGAGGCCTGTGACTTGAGAAGACTTGGGAAACACTTTTAAATCTGCATTCCTTCTATTCTGACTATAATGATTCACACTAAAATCTTGTCAAAACATATAAAACAGAAAAATTAACAAAATTAATTTCTATGATTCTTATATAAATACTCATAGATAAATATACCTTGAGTTTTCAAATACAATTTAGTTTAAAATCCATATAAATTGCAAAATTCTAAATACTTTGGTTGAAAGACTTGAAATGACTTGAAGCTCAAAGGAGATGACTTGGACTTGACTTGGACTTATGGGCCAGCGACTTGAGACTCGACTTGGACATGCCTGTATTTGACTTGGGACTTCACTCGGACAAATCAAAGTCTTGAGACTTACTTGAGACTTGCAAAACAATGACTTGGTCACCTCTGCCTTTAATTATTAGTCTGTTTACATCTTCAAAACTCAAAATGCTCTGGTCCACCTTGTGATGTCATGTCGATCTAGCCACCTTTTACCGTTTGTTCAGTAGAGATCAGCAATTCCAGGACTGAAATCATCCAACTGATTCTAGTGAAAGTGCATGAAGTTTAAAAACACAGTGGAGCACTTCCTGTATTATCACATGACATCACAAGGTGGAACAGCCTGTTTTCTGTTTGAGAGACAAAATCAGGCTGTTTGTGTGTTTAACATGTGTGAATGAAACAAAACACACCTCCAGGTCTGTTTGTGATGAGAAAACAACATTATAACACAGATCAGAAAAGAGTGTAATATGGACCCTTTAAAAAAATTCACAATTCATTTTCAGTTACAAATTTGTTGGAAAAAGTTCAATCATACTTTAAATCTTTTGCCAGCAGCCCTGCATCAGCTGTGTTTATGTTCTTTCTGAAAACCGGAGACACTAGCACTGAGATTGTGTCCAGTACTTTGTTGTTATACTTCCTGTTTACATTGATCTAAAGATTTCCCATTGGCTGGAGATGAGGGGGGCGGGACTTACGCAGGTGGGCTTCCGTGCTTTATGCAGTTATGGCTTAAATGACTGATTAAACACGTTTGACTGAATACTTGGAAGTCTGACTTATTTCTGGATCTATTGTTAATGACTGTACTGCATGTACCTGTGTAGGATAAGTGAAGGGAAACAATAAATAGGCCATAAACAAACGGAAAGGTAGTCACGATGAGATCTGGCATGTATCCTAAAAGGAATACTACTATTTTATTTAATTTTATGCATTGCTGTAATATTCTGTCCCAAATAAATCAGGATAATGAGCTGTCAAGTATGTAAACAGAAAGGACAAGCTGAGACATACTACTATTTTATTTTATTTCAGTTTAGTTTAGTTTCTGTCACAAATAAGCCAGGATAATTAACTGTGAAGTATTTCTTTAAATTCTTAAAAGAGGGAAGTGCTAAATTAATTTTTCAAAAGAACAACAGACTATTCTTAAGAGCACATGTTTGTCTAGACTCTGATTCAGATGCAGTACTAAAACACTGATGTCTAGACTGAAGAACAGCTTTGTACCTTGAATCATTATTGAACTGAACTGAGAGATTTTATTTTTTTTGTTACCGCATATGCATTGTATTTTGCTCTACTTGCATAGTGTGAGTGACTTGAATTGTATAGCTATGGATTTGACAATATGTTATAATATATCAATAGACAAAAGCCGGCCCCCAGGATACTATGTGGCTTTCTGAGTACCACCAGATTTACACCAACTACATCAGACCTATAGTTTTATGGCAAAATATGGTCTTTAAAAGAGATTACACCAGGTCTAAAATGAGACTAAACCATGCATAACATGGTTCTGAATAAGTTCAAGACCAGAGGCAGCCTATAGTACACTGTTTCCCAAAGACTAGGTTGTGACCCTCAGGTGGATCGCAAGAGATTTTTGGGGGGTTGCCCTGTCATGATCTGCATGTAGGTCTGCAATATACAGTTCTGACACATGTGATTTTCTGTGCTCACCAAAATGAAGTCAAAGCACAGAAATAGACTGAATGCTGCATCTGATATGCTGTTGTGCTCTCGTCTTACACCCCAGACTGGAACGCGCTACAAAAACGCAGACAGGCCCACCTATCTCATTAGAAATGTTCAATGACCTGTTTGTATAATTTCTGATCTTTTCTAATCTTTTTTAAAATTATAATTTTATTGACTAGTTTTTCCAATATTGCTGGTTCAATTGAATGTTGAAAAGAAAAAGAAATGTTCTGCGTTTCATGTCCAAATAGGCGACTTGTGAATCCCTTTTATTACTGTTTTTCATTGTTTAAAACTTGAGTAAAAATAACAAAGAGACAGGATCACTCAGTCAACAATAAAATATCCTCATTAATGTTCAATAATGGTCAAATCCAACTTTATTTTGTGATTTACGAATAATGTCTATTGACTTGGGTCGCGAAGGTTTGTGACTTTTAAAATATGGGTCCCCAGAAAAAAAGTTTGGGAAACACAGCTATAGGACATGTACTACAGTTTGAGAAACAGTTCCATATTAGGAATAGGAATTTATTCATGGGCAAAATAGCAAAATAAAAACACCAGGATCATGTAGAGCTGGCTAATGCAAACATTTTAAGACCAAAATGATGAGGCTCATTGCAGCAGTTAGAGAGAAAGGGGTGATAATTTATCAGTGTAAAGTCAATTAGAGCCAAGGTTGATGGAGCCAGAAGCATCCCCATGCTCACTTCATATTTGGGAAGCGGTGGCTAGCAGATTAGATATGTCCATTTATATATACAGTCTATGGTTGGTGGAGAGCATTCACCCACACAGACAGTAGACAGTTGGGCGAATAGTGACCATGTGATTGGTGGTGATCAGATCTGCGGGACCCCGTGTAAATGCCTTAAGAGCATTTTATTGTTTTGTGTGCAGATGACTGTGAGACAGAGGACCACACTGGGACCATAGCAGCTGTTCTGTGTGTGCTCCTGCTGCTCATCTGTGGAGGACTGGCCCTGGTCTACTGGGGGTAAGAGAGACCTGCATGTTCTAAATTACACTAAATTGACTCTTGTGAACTTTAAGCCACGTTAGTATGTTGGTATCTTATCAAAAACATACCTGGAGTTGTCTTTTATCTCATTCATACATGTTTGAGTAATTAATTTTAATTAGTCTGTGTACATCTCCAAAGCAGTAGTTTTCAAATTAAAAGGTTTTTACCTGTAATTGATTGGAACTTCCAGGGCTGAACTGATCTTAATGATTCATTTTTTTGTTTTTTGTTTTTCAAAATAAAACCATTTTCTTCATTATTTGTCTCCAAAACCACAATGAAAAAAATGGATAACGCTTTTTTTTTTTTTTTTTTTTTTTTTTCAGTTTTCGATTTTGGATTTAAATGAATAATGAAAAAAAAATGGATAATGGCCATTTCCCATTTCTCTGACTTAAACTGTGATACCGGACTGAACCAGGAGTGAACCACATCTAAACCAGGTCTAAACCAGGTCTAAACCAAGACTGAACCAGGACTGAGTGTCAGGACGGGCCGGAGGTGTGCCCGCATAGACTGAGACCAGACTGAGATCAGACCGGGACCGAGACCAGGAGTGAGACCAGAACTGAGACCGAATTAGTCCTGATTAAGACTTGGTTCAGTCCTGTTTTAGTCCTGTTTAAGTCCTTGTTCAGTCCTGGTTCAGTCCATATGCGGCGCAAAAGTCCGGAAATGGCTGTTATCCATTATTTTTTCCATAATTCATTTCACAACACAAAACTGAAAATTGAAAAAATGAATCATTATATGTTTGTTTCATTTTGGTTTTGGAGACAAATAATGAAGAAAATTGTTGTTTTTTTTTCTTCATTTTCTTATTTTTGGTTTTATTTTGAAAAATGAATGAACGAATGATACACGAATTGATATGCAGGGTAAATATGCAGGATTTTTGCATTAAACATGTGTGAATGAAACAAAACACAACTCCAGGTCTGTTTTTGAGGCGTTAACATTATTATAACATATCTTAAAGCTCACAAGAGTCAATTTTGTGTAATATAGACTTTTAGAGATTGTCACCATTGTCATGAAAGCCCTGATTCTCCTTGTGTCTGTTCCAGGAGACACTGGCGAAACAACAACACCAGAGAGAGGCTGCACGAGCACATGGACGACAACTGCTGAAAAGTGTTTTTTAAGATTTCAGATTGCTGTGAGTTCATTTAAAAACACGAGTTAAATCCCTGAGCATTAAGAGAGCCAGCGCCAAAAGAATTATTCAGTATTACAACATTCAGATCAACATATGCCAGTAAAACAATTGGGCACACTGTTTTTATGTTATTTCTTTACTACTTTTATAAACTGTAGATACACCAAAATAATGAAGCAAGATGTATGGAATTATGTAGCAATGAAAATATGTTAACAAAACTAAATATGTATTATGTTTTAAATTCAGATTCCTCAAAGTAGCCACCCTTTGCTTTGTTGACAGTTCTCTCGATGAGCTTTATGATGAAATCTCCTGAAATGGTTTTCACTTCACAGCCGTGCCTTGTCAGCGTTCATTATTAGAATGCTAAGAGTGCAAAGCAGTGATCAAAGCAAAGGGTGGCTATTGGGAAGAATCAAAAATACTAAATAGATTTTGAGTCATTTGTTTGGTACATGCCATACGCGTTCATTCATAGATTTGATGCCTTCAGTGACAATCCACAGTGTAAATAGACAGTTAGTATATATATGACTGTTAGTATATTTTTATCTGATAACTATTGCTGAAAATGTTGTTATAATGTAAGTAACTTTATGTCAGATGTCTAATTTGAGCTGCAGACATGTCCACAGCTCTGGTTTTAAATATACTGTGTAAGAAAAGAATGAACTACTTCCTTTCAACTGTAATATTATCAGCACGGCCTTCACTGAGTTATGAAAATAGGACATGATTATGAAGCCATATATGTCTCTACACTGCCCCCTGCTGGATATAACTTGATACATGTAAAGAAATACTTTTTGTACTGTATTTTAAACATACTGACACACTGTATTCACATGTGCTCAATAAAAATAGCAACAATGACACACGTTTGAATAAAAAATGGAATCCACATTGTTTCTCAATTTATATTCAGTCAATGTCATAATAATGAAAGAAACTTAGAAGATGATTTAAGGGGAACCATTCTGAAGGCATCTGGATCATGTATTTGAGAATAAATAAATGTAGTTTGACCTCAGTGATTGACGTCCAGACAAACAGCTCCAGAGGTCAAGCTCCAGGATCAGGTCCATACTCCTCTGACCTCTCTACAACTCTCCTGTGTTTTACTCACCAGAAAAGACCGAATATTCACAGAGCTGCACATTTGGCTGCACCACTAACACTTCACGATAAATTATTTATGTTATTAGGTTCTTTTTTCAGATCAAGAGTTTGTTTTCATACCTGACCATTTCGACTGCTCACTAGCGGTCTTCCTCAGAGTGGTCACGTGATGTTGCTGTGATGTTTCGGGTCAGCTGATTTATATAGGTTTTCCCACCTGTGGAGGCAGAGCAACAGCTCCATCTGCAGTCCGACTTCCTCAAGAAAGTCTGAAACAGAGACTGAAAAAAGTAGCCAGGCTGGCGCCACCTAGTGCTTCTGTTCAATTTCATTTCAGTCCGGCGACTAGGTCTGGAATCAAAATACAATAGACAGTTCACAAAAACCCTGAAGTGCAAGTTCGGGCACCAGCCAATCAGTGAAGAGCCATTTATTCAGTGTTGGAAACAATTCTCGAGATCGAGGATTTAAAGCCAGAATAAAGAGAATGTTTGGTGAATTTCATCAAGGGGAAACACGTTATTGTCCTTCTTCCTACAGGATTTGGGAAAAGATTACATATGTCACAACCAAATAGCAGCGATTGGTTAAATTATAAAAAGTGCCCGCCTACCGTCAAACAAATTCTAACATTGTGAGGTCAGACGGTTTCTATGAAGAGAAACCATCTGATGAATCAGACTAGAAAAAAAGAATCTAATAACATACATTATTGGAAGATGAAATGAAATTCGTGGGACTACTCCATGATAAATAGTATTAAATAAACATCATAAACAGAGCTCAGAACCTCCAGAATTCACTCATATGAGCTGCAGAGGCTGCACTAGCACTGGTTCTTGATGAGTGCTGCTGGGGCTGGGGTTTAGGTAGTGACTATTCAGATCAGAGAGATTCATTTTGGGGTTTTGAAACTTAAATTTCAAATGCTCATTCTGCTTTGTGACTGGATAATCATCTTGAGACCCAAAACACCAAATGATTACATACTTTTTTAATAATTAAGAATAAACCAGCACTGAAACTGTTTCATGAATGAGGCCCAATGTATTAACATGTTTGATAAGCTCTGAGTCCCCTCCCTTTGCTCTCCATGCACTATCACTATGACTCCCCCTTCAGAGCGCAGTCACAACACAATCAGCTTGCATTCTGCTAATGAAACTACTTCACATCACATCAGGTTTGTGAAGTTGTTGTGTACAGTTTGTATCATGCTTTTGTACATTATTGGAGAATTGCTGTGTGGGAGCATGGGTGACGTAGCTTTGTAGACTGAGCAATGGATCGAATCTACAGCTACGCGTATCAAAGAGGTTCAAATACGGCCCAGGAGAGATCGCTAAATTACTCAAACATGCATGGATGACACCTAAAACAGCTTCAGGAATGTTTTTAATGAGGGGACAACATTATAACATGGTAGAGGGCTAAAAAACAAACAAACAAACAAACAAACAAACAAACAAAAAACTTACAGTGGTTCTTGTAGTGGATCAAGGCTGAATTCTGGGGCAGGTAAATAGAACTGTCACTCTTCAGAGACACTTGGTTGGACACTGTGGACTGCTCTCTGTGTGAGGCTCTCCACTCTGAAACAAACAACATTTATTGTACTTTGCTTTGGTGGGACAGTACCAGTGGTGAATAGTTATCAGGGTTTTACAAAGGTTAAGTGGCAGTTTGTGGAAAAATAATTTCAGAAGGAAAGTACAAACACAGAAAGTAGTGTGGAGTTATAAATAGAAACACCTCAACCTATGTCACCAACACAGAAAATTCCATCCAAAATGCAAAGATTAAGAATTAAGAATAAGTCAGCATTAAAATTGTTATCAGTAAACTATTTTTGATACATTTGCCTTGTATTTAGGAACACAAATATTTATGAAATTTGCAATAAAATGTCTATAAATCCTCCCTTTGTGTGTGTGTGTGTGTGTGTGTGAGTTTTTAAAAAATTATTATTATACTAGTAAATTATTAGTGCTGTCATGCGATTAAAAAAATTGAGAGATTAATTAATTATGATCTGTAATTAATTAATCTAATTAATCTCATTTTAATCTCACCTAAAAATTGCTGAGAAAAGCTTCAATTTGAGGTATTTTCATTTAAATTCATTATTACATTATTGTGGCAGATCAAAAGACTGATATAGATTAAAAAAAGTGACTTTATAAAGTCATTTATTGTTTAACAAATCTCTCCAAATTGGCTGTTGAGCCCAAGTCTCCATGAATAAGAAACTGTTTGCTGTAAAGTAGCAAAGACGAGGAAATCTGAACATAATAACTTTTGTCTACTTAAAGACAATAAAAAGTCCAGTCTTTCCTTAACCATATTAAAAATATTATTGATAGAGAAATGCTTTATATATGAGATCACTGGTTTTAGTCCTGGTTTAGACCTGCTTTAGTCCTACTTTAGTCCTAGTTTAGACCTGGAATGGATTAATCCTGGTTTTAGTCCCCGGTGTTAGTTCTGGTTTAGTTCTGGTTTTAGCTCTGGTTTTAGTTCTGGTTTTAGTTCTGGTTTAGTCCTGGTTTAGTCCTGGTTTAGACCTGGTTTAGTCCTGGTTTAGACCAGGTTTAGTCCTGGACTGGGTTAGTCCCGGTTTTAGTCTTGGTGTTAGTTCTGGTTTAGAGGCGCACAGGAGGAAGCGCGGTTTACGCCGCGTACGCGAGAAAACACGATCCACACGCGGCTCACGGGAGGACAGCGGTGTCCGCGCAGTGTCTACGGAAGGAAACGTGGTCCGCGCGTTCTCAGGTTAATGACGATGATGAAGGTGTGTGTTTGTTTGTGTTTGTTTGTGTTTGTGTTTGTTTGTGTGTGTGTGTGTTTGTGTTTGTGTTTGTGTGCGTGTCCCCTCATGTGGCAGGTCACTATAGGACAGTAGTGCAGACATCATGAGCCTATGCAGGTTGTTTTCACCAGTGACATTTAAACTTGTAGGCGATTTTATATTTGTTATTTTCTTTTATATTTCACGTCGGGAGAAGAATTTCCAAGACACGAATGTGTTTTTACCTGTGCACTGCTGCCTCTGTTCTACTGGCTGTACGACCTCGTCCATTGTGCGACTGACGCCGCCAACGTTAACATGACGTTTACATCGCTCTTACTGTGCGCGTTTTGTGTGGGTTTCTGGCAATGAGTGGAATTACCGAAATAAAAAAATGTATAAATGTGTTTTTGTGTGTGTGTGTTGTTGTCCCAACAACACATAAAAACAGGTTTTATAATAAAGCAACTCGCATACAGAAACACTAAAGTTAGAGATTAAAAATGAGATTAACGCGATTAAAAAACATAACGCGCTAAATATGACTGTAATTAATTCATCGCAATTAACGCGATAATTTGACACCCCTATAAATTATACAGTAAAAACTGTAAAAAATTGTCAGCTGTGGTTGCCAGAATTTCACCCAAAAAATATGGTTTATTATAATCACTGACTTAACAAGGTACTTTAGTAAAGGCACATTGTGTAACTTTTCTGGTGGTGGAGGGTCTGTCAAATCCTTTTCTCAGTGGAGATGTTATTGCTTTGTTTGGACTGTTCCACAGTATGGTAGTAAATCGAGATGTAACAATAACTGAAATATCGTGATTTATCATATCGTGATAAATATCATATTGTATCATCAAAGTTCTCACAATAATATCATGGACCAGCACAATATATGGAAATTACAAGCCCCTTCACTTAAATTAAGAGTTATGGTGCAGCAATAGTTTTTTAAAAAATAGAAGGAACTACATAGACCATGATCCTTTGCTTCATTTCACTGTAGACTACATGAAGAAATAACAGTTCTAAGCACTTTTAAGTCTTCTTTCTTTGGATTAGGTCTTGTCAAGGCATTTTAAGAGGAAAAACCAAGAGATATCACAATAAATATCATACCGTGAGGTTCATACAATGACGATATCATATTGTAAGCCTTGGATATCATTACACCACTAGTAGTAAACCTTTCAGTCTTCATGGAGACTAAAGCTACATTCACAGTGCAGGGCTTAATGCTCAATTCCGATTTTTATGTGAAATCCGATGTTTTTGCGAGGTCGTTCACATTTCCAATTAAATGCGACTTGTATGTGATCCCCTGTGTGAACGTTAAACGGCCCGAAAGTGTCCCACATGTGCACTGGAGGACACAATGACGTCAACCGCAGCGAGCGTGCTCTGTGTTTACTGAAGTTGTCTAAACATGGACGTGAGCATTGAGCATCTGGCGATTTTAAAGATCCTCTCGTACCGGAGCCAGAACATGAACAACTTACTTGTTTTAAGGAGGAGATTGAGAAGGAGAAGGACGAGGTTTTTGGCCGTGGCGTTTTGTGGGACAGCGGCAGCGACGTCCGTTGAAAGGAACGTGTGGATGCGCAGATGTAGCCAAGAGTGGTGAGTGGTGATGTTCTTTGCTTCAGTGACACGGAGTTCATTAACAATTTTCGCCTACTTCAGCGCAGAATACTGATGTTTGTGGCTTGTTGATAACGTGTAGGTGGATGAATGCGCTTTGGCCGTTCACACTGAAGTCACATGTCAAAAGATCAAATATGTATCGGTTTTAGGAGGACATATCGAAGTGGTCTGGGTCGCATTTGAAAAAATCGGATCTGTGTCGTTCAGATCGGATACAGGTCACATAGAGGCCAAAAAATCAGATTTGGGTCACTTCAGGCTGCAGTCTGAACGCAGCCTAAATAAGACCAAGTCACAGGTCAGATCTGTGGAGAATGCCTGTTTTTCAAGGTATTTTTTGAGCTATGAAACCACCTGCAATTGAATAATGTAAGATAGCTGTTTAATGTCATACTGTGGAATATTTCAAGCAGAGCAATGGCATATCCATAGGCACAATACAGTAACGGACCCCAACCAAAAAGTTGCACAGTGCACCTTTAAAGCAGATGCATACACTAGACTCAAGTCTCCAAACCTAACTGGGCTATTGAGTCAGCTTATTTCTTAACTGGCAACATTTCTAATATTTTTACCCCTATTTATCAGACAACAAAAACGATACAGAGGCTACATAAGTCCTCTGTTTTACACTGCAGCTCTCAATATTTAGACTGGACTTCAAACATTTCAGAATAGAAAAACATTTGTTGTGGAGAAATAAAGCCTGGAGCTCCCTGTGGCTTGTCTCCTCTCCGTGTTCTTGGTGCTTTTCCAAAAAGTGCAGCTCGTGTGCTCGCGGTACCCCAGCGCATCCATCACACGCCCTTTCACCTCGCCTCCTGTCGGTCACCACGGCAACGGAACGAATCACGAAACCTCTTTCAAAAGGTCAAAGGGCGCGCAGAGGACACAGAGAAAGAAGGGAGGAAAACACACTATTGGATGTTTGGAAAGTTTAGGTACGCCGCTGGGAGGTGAAGTCCAGAGATCGACTTTTGCAGACTTGAGTCCACAAAGAAGAAATGTTGTGGTGGTGTTAAAGCTCCAAGAGACTGCATAACCTTAAAGCAGAAAAGAAAGAAAGATGGCTCCTCCCGGCTGTATCCTCTGGAAGCACGGGCTATAATAAAGTAATATCAAAATAGAGGAATCAGTATTTTTGCGTATCTATATTTCTATTTTCTGATCTATGTTATAATGTTTCCCTCATCAAAAATATACATGGAGATTTTTGTTTCATCCACACAAAACCCTGCATATTAACTACTACAACTACTACACATCATATCAGGTTTGTGAAGTTGTTGTGTACATGCTTTTGCACATTAATGGAGAATTGTTGTGTGATGTTGCTTTGTGGACTGAGCAATGGATTCAGTCTACAGCTAACCTTACGAAAGAGGTTCAAATAGGGTCAAGGAGAGATCGCTGAATTACTCAAACATGCATGGATGACGTCTAAAACCACTTCAGGCATGTTTTTAATGAGGGAATAATATTATAACATGGGAGAAGGATTAAAAAAAAAAAACTTACAGTGGTTCTTGTAGTGAGTCAGAGCTGAATTCTGGGGGCAGGTAAATAGAAGTGTCACTCTTCAGAGACACTTGGTTGGACAGTGTAGACTCTGCTCTATGTGTGGAAACTCTCCACTCTGAAACAACAGCATTTATTGTACTTTGCTTTGGTGGGACAGTACCAGTGATGAATAGTTATCATGGTTTTACAAAGGTTAAGTGGCAGTTTGTGGAAAAATAAGTTCAGCAGGAAAGTACAAACATACAGGAAGTAGTGTAGAGTTATAAATAGAAAGCCTCAATCTATGTCATCAGCACAGAAAATTCCATCCAAAATTCAGAGATGATTTATACAAAACTGTTTTGGAAGTCTAAACACTCATTTATCAAAAACGAATGTGTCATTCAGTTTTTTATAAGTCTAATTATAGATATTGTGTTATTTTTAGCTCATGGTTTCTGTATCAGTCATGAAATTACCTCTACATACTGTACATCACATCCCGTGCCATATCTGCTGCTCTTGTCCAACCAGAAAATAAAATGATAAACTTCCCCACAATTAAAGCAATAAAACTATACATGAAATGAGTAATCTGTCAGATGCTTGAGTAGATAGAAATAATATATACAGTAGTTGAATTCTATGCATAATTACATATTATCAAGATACTGTAACTTTTCTGGTGGAGGGTTTGTCACCTGCTTCTCTCCATGGAGATGTTGCACAGTATGGCATTCCACTTGTCTAAAGCTACAGAGATAGCAGGTGACACCAAAGGGCCAAGTTACATGTCAGATCTGTGGAGAGGCGAGCCCATACACTGTAAGAAAATTTTTAGGTCAATAAAAACCCATGTAATGCAAGATGGATATGTAATGCCACACCAGGACATTCCAGAAAAAAGCAGATAACAGACCCTCCAACAGAAAAGTTACACAGTGCACCTTTAATGCCATGATATTCACACACAGAAAAAGAGAGAAAATCTTAAGTTTCATTTGCAAAAGCAAGCACTTCCATTTTTATTTTATAGTTAAAATTTCCTAGTTACTTTAACACAGTTCACATGAGAAATGTACATACAGTAAATGGAAAAAATAAATATAAATATTTTGTTTTCAGTTGGATTTTTTTTTTATACTTTTGCTCACTGGCCACATGATTTAATTTATTTTTTAACTTAAACTTATAAATAGCTGCATAACTCTATCATTATAAAATATATATGTCAGTTATTTTTTATATGCCACATCCAGTCTCATAAAAGTGTGCTGCAATATTTCATTTGATCTGAAGCTTAAAAACAAAAACAAAACAAATTTTAGAACAGTTATTTCAGTAAAAAAAAACATATTTCACCAGTTTCAAGTAACACAGGCTTGACCTATTTATATAAAACAGACAAAAATATTACCAACAACGTAATACATGATGCACATCCAAATTCTAACTTAAAGAACTGTGTAACTTTTCTGGTGGAGGTTCCATCAAATGTTTTTCTCCACAGAGATATTATTGCTTCATCTGGAATGTTTCACAGTACGGTATTAAACCTTTCTATTTAAGGAGACTAAACCAGACCAAGTTACAGGTCAGATCTGCGGAGCAGTAACCCTACTCACAGTCAGAATGTTTGTTTTTCTAGGTATTTTTGAGCTATAAAATCACCTGAATTTAATAAATTTAAGGTAGAGTTTTTAATGTCATACTGTGGAACATTATAGGAAGAGCAGTTACATACCCACAGAAACAAGCAGGTAAGGAACCCCCAACCAAAAAGTTACATAGTGCACCTTTAATACCCAACATAAGGGTATTTGGAGTACAAGTACAAGAGTTCAGAGTTCTTAGTGAAAATACAGGCTCAGCTGTCCGGAAAAGATCAGAAGTATCAAATATGGTTTCACTTTAATCAGTGCGCTGTTAGCATGCTAGTTGTTGTTAGCATGTGAATTGAAGGCCTTAAAAACACTTATAAACTTGGTAACTAAGATGCTAAGAATGGAGAGAATGCTAAAAAAAAAAAAAACAACAACAACAACAACAACAAAAAACTGAGCATGCGTTGGCAAAGTGAGGAATAAGTTTGGAACACTGTAAATGTTTGAAGGGCCCATATGACAAGATTTTTTGATCTGTTAGAATGTAGTTTTTTCATTCCCAAATGTTGAACACATAAACCCTGCATATTTAAAATAATTTCTTCTTTCAAACAGAAAACACTGCACCTTGCATTGTCATGTGGTAATGCAGAAAGTGCTCTACTGTGTTTTTAAATTCTATACACCTTTACTATAATCACTTGGAAAAATTTCAGCCCCCAAACTCTACTGAACAAAAAATAAAAGGCATAGCTGGTAACTTGAAAACAGCTTCATGACATCACAAGGTGGAACAGAGCATTTTGAGTTTTGGAGATGTAGACAGACTAATAATAAAGGATTACTCAAACATGTGTAATTGTGTCAATTGTGTAATACAGGAAGTGTAAGTAAAATCAGGTACAGCACCTTCAAGAAGCTCAGACAACTCTTTACATTTTATATTATTAGTGAGTGTAGCAGTCTAAAGCCAGAGGCCCAGACACTTCCTCCAGCCCAGGTCCCAAGGCGATCCCATATAGACCCTCCAAAGCCCTTCCACAGGTGGGATATTTCTCCAGGGAGGATCCAGGAGAAACAGAACAGTGTGGTCAAGTGCTTTTGTCCATTCACCGCCAACTAATGAGAAAAACGTTAAAAAAGTGTTAAAGAGTAGGTAACATTTAAACTAAATATAAAATTCTACACAACAGTGCTGACTTCAAACATAGCAGATAGCCTCCTTTGGTACCACTTTATAAAAGTGTTTGATCACATGGACAGTTGGTGTTGTAATTATTTGATGTTTACACAGTAGGGCATGCAAAACCTTTTACAGATGTGTTGTGTATTTTGTTGTGTTTAATCTAATGAACTCATTTTATTTTGCACAATAATCAGATTTGATTTCACTCATAAAGTGCTCACAGTAGAATGTTCAGTCGACAGTTTGGGCTCTGCTTCAGATCCAGGAGCTCCTGGACGTCTGCCTCCTTCAGGTTGTTCCCCCACAGGATAAACTCTGTCAGGTACGAGGGGTTGGACTTCAGAGCCGAGGCCAAGAGGCTACAGCTGGACTCTGGTAAACTGCAGTTATTCAGTCTGAAATAGAATAGAAGAAATAAAAATAGAAATAGAATAGAAATGGACTCTGACCGTTGCAGAGTACTTGTACATATCATACGTATAATAAAATAAATATTATGGTTGTTTTAGAGATGTTTTTATAATATTTTTTAATAAAAATAATTTGCAGTAGCAACAGTCGCCAAGGCCTTTGAACATTCTACATCATCGCCATGACAACATAATGTCAAAGTACAAGTGTTGTGCTGGCGTTACATTTCTCCGTCATATCACTTCTGACACTCTACAGACGACACGCACTGCAAACTGCTCTAGTCAAACTCTTCACCTTCTGTGTGAAACTTTTCCCTGACTAAAGTCATTATGTTGGCAAAACTGCAAATAATCTTTGCTCTCACAGAGGAATTTGAGGTCGAAATCAACCACTGGAGAGAGCAAGACAAACAGTGGTCGGCTGAGAAAAAGGCCTTCCTAGAAAGAGAGGAGAGGAGAAGAGAGGAAGCGCTCAAAAGAGAGCTGCTCTACAGAGATAGAGAGGAACAGTGGAGCGTCAAACAAAAGGCCTGGTGTGAGGAGAGGAAGGCCTTAATGGAGAGACAGGAGGACCTGCTGAGGAAAGTCAGTGCTCTGGAAGAGTTACTTTCCAAAGCTCATCAGCTGTCTGACCCTCTTCAGGAGCAGAAAGAGGAGGACCTCTTAGACCTCCAGGTAAAAAGTCCTGCAATGATGGACCAACCAGCTCCATCAGAGCCCCAGCCCCCTTTAGAGCCCACTGTTGTTGTCATAAACTCTACTCCGGTTAAAGTGAAGCCCACTCTGAAAAGAGATGCTAAAACTGAGGACAGAGTGGACGATGATGCTGGTGCCTTTGTGTACCACTTTGGTCCTGCTGTTTTGAAACACCGGTGGAGACTGGCCGACATGCACAGTGTCAAAGTGGCAAAGGTGAAGGAGGGGGGATCTTCTATGAAATGGATCACCAAGATGAAGAGGAAATGGTGGAGCTCCAAGCACTAGAGCTCCTGCCTCTGACAACACAACATGTTCATGTAAATAAAGAATGTCTTTTAAAAAGTTGATTTGTTGTGTAGATTTTTATGGAATGCAAACTGTGAATGGATATATGTGTGAATGTGTTTAAAGTCATTTTGTGAAAATTTCAGTCTGGTTGCGGTGAATGTGATCATGACTCATGATGAACTACATACATGACTGAAGTGGTACAGTACTTTCTATGAGAGTGAAATGGTTGCCAAGAATAAAAACTCATAAAAAGTCAGATCATTATAATTGATTAGCTTGAATCCTTTGAGTTTCCTGTGTGGAAGCAAAGGAGCTTTTCATGTGTAACAGATCAATTCAACTCACTCTAGTGTCTCAAGTCTACAATCTGGATTCTGTAGAAAACTGCACAGATGCTCCACCGCTGACCTGGTCATCTTATTAAACCCAAGGTCCAGTTTTTTTAAATGCAAAAGGTTGGACTTGAGAGCTGAGACCAAAGCCAAACAGCCTGATTCCATCAAACTGCATCGGTACAATCTGCATAGAGAAAAAAATGATTTATTAGTACATATGGAAGTATGAGGTACTTGCAGTAGTGGCCTCCTCTCTATCAGAGTCACTTTATTTATGATATGGCCTTTGCAGAGGAGGAGGTGCCACCATGTTCCACAGGCAGAACATTGTGCATGTGTACAGTGTATATCTACATCCAGGCCCTGCCCTGAGCAGTGACATACACTATACAGACAGTCCACACTCACATGAGCGTCTCCAGCTGACAGTGTGGGCTCTGCAGGACAGCACACAGGTGAGCCACACTGGAGTCATTCAGCACATTACCGCCCAGGGCGAGTTCTCTGAGGTGGGAGGGGTTGGACTTCAGAGACAAGGCCAGAGAAGAACTACTGGACTCTGACAGGGAGCAACTGTTTAATCTGAGAAAAATAAATAAATAAAAATAAATAATTTATATATATATACATTTTCAGAATTAGCCTCTCTGTGTGCACTTGTGTGTGCCCTTTCTATTGTTTATGAAAGGTGTGAATGTAAGAAACATGATCAAAAGTGTGTTTTAAACATTTAAATATAAACTCCTGATAAATATTATGTTTCACCCCTTTGCCACAAATGACTTTTGCATAAAGGTATGTCTTATGTGTCATGTGTTCTACACCAGAGGTAGTACTGACTCTGATCTTTCCTGACTAAAGAGGGAGGACTTACCTTAAAGTCTGAAGTTGACAGTGTGGATTCTGCAGTCCTTCACATAAGACCTTCATTTCAGAATTCACCTCAGAGTTTAAACTTAGGTCGAGGAACACCAGGTGAGACGGACTGGACTTCAGAGCTGATGCCACAACTTCAATGTGAATCTTTGAGAGTTTACAGTCAGAAAGTCTGGGAATTAGAGAATTAGTAAAATTATTGTAGATAAACAATGGTGATAAAAATGGTGTTGAGAAGCAACATAATATATGATGTTAAATATATCATATATTATGCAATATATACCATTTTCAAATCCTGACAACACTTACAGAGCCTTTCTGCAGTTCCTCACAGCCGGGAGCAGTCTCAAGCATCCTTCCGGTGAGGTGTTGTACTTCTTTAAATCCAGCTCCTCCAGGACGTCCTCTGACATCTGCAGCATGTAGGCCAGTGCAGAACACTGGATCTCAGACAGCTTTCCTGACCTGTTCCCTGACTTCAGAAGGTCCTGGATGTACTGATGGACCGAGCGCTCATGTAACTCTGTCAGACAATGAAAAATGTTGATGCTTCTGTCTGGGGAAATGTCTCCGGCGTTCATTTCTTTCAAGTTGTTGATGACTTTTTGTCTCACCTCTGGGCCCGTCTGTATGGGACCCAGTATATTTTTCAGGAGCTCCTGGTTGGACTCCAGCGCAAGACCGTGAAGAAAACGCACAAAAAGGTCCAGGTGACCATTTGGACTATTTAAAGCTTTTTTCAAAGCCTCTTTGAGAAAGACATCAACTGTTGAGTATTGTTTCCAGGACTTATGAAACCTTTTTGCCTTTTTATTGAAGCAGTGATGCATGTAAACTGCAGCCAGGAACTCCTGGACACTTAGATGGACAAAACAGTAGATTGTTTGTGGATAACTAAAAGTAACACTCTCATGTTTGAAGATCTCTGTACAAAGTCCTGAGTAAACTGAGGCTTCAGTCAGATCCAGACCTACATGAAGCAGGTCTTCTTGGTAGAACATGAAGTTCCCTTTCTGTAGATGATTGAAAGCAAGCTTCCCTAGCTTTTGAATAACCTCAACATCAACCGTTGTCAGCTCTACAACACTAGTCTCCTGCTTGTACTTCCTCTTCCTGAGAGTTTGCACAAGCAGAAAGTGAGCGTACATGTCAGTGAGGGTCCGGGGCAGGGCTCCTCTGTGCTCCACCCTGAACATGTGCTCCAGGACTCTGGCTGTGATCCAGCAGAAAACTGGGATCTGGCACATGATGTTCAAGCTCTTACATTTGGTGATGTGGGCGAGAACTCTGGAACACAGCTCCTCATCTGTGAACCTCTTCCTGAAATATTCCTCCTTCTGTTTGCCCGTGACAAAGCCTCTGACTTCAGTAAATCGATCCACAAATTGCACAGAAATCTGATTGGCTGCCGCTGGTCTAGATGTGATCCATATAAGGGCAGAAGGAAGCAACGTGCCTTTGATAAGGTTCACAAGCAGCACTCCAACTTTGGCTCTCTGTGTTACCCTAGTAATGTGTTTACAAGCGTGGAAGGGAAGAGTTTGCCTGCTCTCATCAAGGCCATCAAAGATGAACAAGAGTTTCCCCTGGGCCAGTGTTTCAGCTGTGATCTCCTGTAGAGAAACATGAGACTCTTGTATGAGGGTCAGCAGGCTGTAGCGACTTTGTCCGACTAGATTGAGTTCCCTGAAGGACAGGGGCACCACCAGATCAACATCATGGTTCTCCAAATCCTGGGCCCAGTCCAGAGTGAACTTCAGGACAGAGAAGGTTTTCCCTACTCCAGCCACACCGCAGGTGAGCACCACCCTGGTGGGTTTGAGGTCAGATGGTAATGGTTTAAAGATGTCATGGATCCTGATAGCAGCAGAAGGGGCAGTGTTTTTGGAAAGAGTCTCCAGCTGCTTCTCTTCATGTTGAGTACTGACATGGTCACGGTGGCCGTCTGTAATGAACAGCTCAGTGTAGATCTTATTCAGAGAAGTTTTACTTTCTGTGTTTGTTCCTTCATGTACGCGCTCATATCTCAGCATCAGATACCTCTTATGGTCACCTGTAACAAGAAAGGATTACTGAACAGAAAAGCAAAAAAGCTGCAGTGTGTTTTGAGTGAGTAGAGAGTTCTTGCAACATGTTAATACAGGTTGGTACAAAGTGCATTACATGGTACTACATATGAAGTACACAGTCAGGGTGCAACTCACACCACTGCTGCCACACTGAAAAAACGGTCCGAGAGGGGTTGCTCAAATTGCAAAAAGAAATTTGACAACAATAGCATCACTTTTTTACGTTTCTCTGTCAAGCATGTTTAAATCTTACAAAGGTCACTTGATTGTGGCCGATGTGAGACCTGTAGGTTTTAATCAGGTTGAGGAAACATGATTTTATTATAATTTCTGGTGAGGCTATTCCCTCTGGAATTCTCCTCCCCAAAACTTTTGGAGGGAAAATTCAAATGTAACAGGACACAGGACAGTTCCAGGAGCAGAGGACACACAGTGTGGAGCAGGAGGATTATGAGAGCTGATCTGGAGGTAAGACTTTTTAAAGATTTTATTATGTGCTTCTCCGGCCTAGAATGTCGTCAATGTTAAAACATGTTTGTGGTGTTTCATTTGAAATTAGAGTTAATGTAAGGACAGCTTCAAACAAATTGTATTTGACTGTCCATCTACAAGAGTGTGACACTTGTACTAAGATTTGAACGTGTTTGTTCCAGAGTCGTCTACAAAGAGTGACGTCCAGAGTTTTGCTGGAGCTGTGGGGAAGTTCATGAATGTTATAGTTGATGTTTCAGAAAAAAGGAAGATGTTTGAGAACCAACAAAACACAGACCACAGATGAACAAAGTAAGTAAACCAACTAAAATTATTTAAAATTTTTTTCAAAATGTACTTCTATTGAAACAGTTATCGTGCTTCTACAAGGTGATGTGGCACTAGGAGACTTTATACCAGATTCCCCCCCTGTTACTGTGTTTAGAGGAAGAAAAGCAGCACATGGTGAGTTTTGTTTCTGCAGATACAGTTCTAATGTTCTTGTGATTCTGTTCTGGTCCATTATTGTAATAATAAGTGCTTTAAGTGTATTTAAACATGTAGAACAGAGTAGATCATCAGAATGTGATCATCATGTGTTATTCCTGTGTCCACAGGCAGAGACCAGAGCTTCTTCACTGGAATAAATCTTCACATTGTCCAGCTCCAAACTGTGTGTCTCTGTCCCTGTGCTCTCTTTGTGTTTGATTCTGTTTAAGACAAAACAGAACTGTGGAAAACTAAAGACTGTTTTTGTATTCTTTTACAGAATTAGATCAATTAAATTAAATTATACATACTTATACATTTCATGATAAGGTACCATAAGATGCATATTCAGCATGATTTGATCAAATTTCATCAACATGAAAAAGTAATGTTCATGTTCTGAGAAAAATATGTGTAGAGGGGATCGAAATAAGTTTCAAAGTCTAAACATAATTTTATTGCATGCAACCGCTTTCCATAAGTTTTTTACGCAAATCCAGCAACCTTTTTTTTTCAGTGCATCCTGAAAGATGCTAATTTACATCTACAAAATGTCCTCATGTCTGTGGACTGCACACTTCTTGCCAGTCCTGTCTTCAAATCACAGATTATGAAATGCTGAAGTGGTCTAACAGAGTTTAGCATTAACATTTTACTCTTAGAATCAAGCAGAGACTATATTCATTTCTTACTTTGCAGTGATGACCAGGAATGGTCCATGTTTTCAGAGTAACACGGCTGACAGTAGAGCCCCCTGCTGGTGATGACTGGATCAGTCAGTTGTCTTCCACAGACACAGCAGAACGAACCTGAGCCTGCACCAGGATTGTCTCTGTGAACATCAACACACACACACGCACGTACGCATGCACACACACACACACACACACACACACATACACATGGTTATGTATGAGTCATTGAAAGGAAAGAAAGAAAGGAAAGAACAGCATGAAATTTTCTTAATTTTATATGCTGCTGAATTCTCCCTTTGAATTTTCTCACTCTGAAAACTCTGAAAACTCAGCTCTGAAAAAACATGTTTAAGTTAGTTTAATTCTGAATTTCAGCTGATGAAATTAAATTTTCAAAGTGTTTACAAATTCAAAATAAAAATGTCACCTTTTAAATATTCAGTACATATATTTTCAAATTCTGTCAAAACTGTGAAAATTCAAAGTATAAAATCTGTAGTGAAAAATCTGCAGCAAAGATCCAAGACGTCAACATCTAATCAATCAATCCAAATGAATAAAAGTGAATTTTCATTTTGGATTTTATAAATGTTCGAAATGTATATTTAAAAAAAATATTAAGAGAAGGTCATGGGTTTACAGCACTGTCAACAAAGCAAAGGGTAACTTCTTTGAGGAATTTGAATCTAAAATATAAAAAAGCTACATAACTCCACACATCTTGTATTATATATTTGATGTCTTACATGTGAACATAAATAGAATGGTGTCAACATAAAGAAAAAAGCATTGAATAAGATGGTGTATCCAAACTTTTGACTGGTAGTGTATAGTATTAATGACTGGATGACTTACAGTGGTTCTTGTAGTGGATCAGAGCTGAATTCTGGAGGCAGGTAAATAGAACTGTCACTCTTCAGAGGCACATGGTTAAACACTGTACACTCTGCTCTCTGTGTGACACTCTCCACTCTGAAACAAACAACATTTAGTGTACTTAAAGGTGCATTGTGTAACTTTTCTGGTGGAGGGTCTGTCAAATGCTTGTCTTGGAGATGTTTTTCTTCATCTGGATTGCTTCACAGTGTGGTATTAAACTTGTCTATTTTCATGTAGACCAAACCAAGTTACAGACCAGATCTCTGGAGAGGCAACCCCGCTCACAGTCAGAATGCCTGTTTTTCTAGGTATTTTTGAGCTATAAAACCACCTGTAATGAGATAAATGTAAGGTAGAGCTGAGTAAATTCATACTGTGGAACATTCCAGACAGAGCAATGTCATATCCATAGAAACAAGCAGGTGATAGACCCCCAATCAAAAAGTTACATAGTCTACCTTTAATGTAGTAATGATGTTGCATTATTCATGTCCAGTCTATTTAGTAACACGTTACTGTAGTCCGACTACTTTTTTCAGTAACGAGTAGTATAACGCACTGCTATTTCCAAACCAGTAGTCAGATTTAAGTTACTTATCTAATACACTGTGCGTCACCATTATTGCGATTCAGGGTGACGTAGGTTATGTATTTATTTATATTTTTTGGTGACGTGGGTTATGTGACCCCAAAGATCATATAAATCATCTCTGGTGACGTTTCCTATGATGTTACATCATCTCCACTCCGCCATGAGTCAGATTTTTCTTAAGCGCAGTAAGACCATTGGTAGATCATTTTACTTATCAAGTGAAATTTATTCAACTCATGATAGAATTAATTAAAAAACCTAAATCTTAACTTGGCTTAACTTTTACAGAGAAGTATGTGTACTGTGTTTCGTTGTGTAGAAAATGTTAACTTCTCTAGTTTTAGAAATAAAAAAAAGATCATGTATCCAGTGCACAAATGTTGGGGGTAGAGGACCTTTCCGCTTAAAGAGATTTTTCACTGCAATTTTTTAAAAACTAGACAGTGGCAGGATATGAGATAGAAGGCTGAGATAGAGTTTAAAGAGGTGATATTTTACTTCTATGAGGTATTAACTTCTGTCACCCAACGTTTAAATTATCATAGTGCCTTTTATTTTTTTGAATTGCAATATATTCGCCAAAAACAATGTATGTTATTAGGTTTTATTTCAGCCCAAGAGTTTGTTTTCATAACTGTCAGGTATGTGAGCAGTCTAAAAAAGAACCTAATAACATAAATTATCAGAAAACCAAATGAACCTTGTTTTTGATGCGGTGAGTCCCCCCTCCCTTTTCTCTCCATGCACTATCACTACCACTCCCCCTTCAGAGCCCTTCTCACAGACAGGGCTTTTGTGTGACATATAGTGAATATGTATAGGGAGCTACATTTGTCAAGTTGTTGTGCACAGTTTTGTATCATGATTTTGTACATTTACGGAGAACTGTGCGGGAGTGTGGGTGACTTAGGCTTGTGGTGGGAGCACTGCGCAGAATCTACAGCTAATCGTATCAAACAGGTTCAAACGGGGCAAATTACTCAAACGTGACATCTAAAAATTATTCGGGCACATTTTTAATGAGGGAACAACATTACAACATGATAGTGGGTTAAAAAAAAAACTTACAGTGGTTCTTGTAGTGAGACAGAGCTGAATTCTGGGGGCAGGTAAATAGAACAGTCACTCTTTAGAGACACTTGGTTGGACACTGTAGACTCTGCTCTCTGTGTGAAACTCTCCACTCTGAAACAAACAACATTTATTGTGCTTTGCTTTGGTGGGACAGTACCAGTGGTGAATAGTTATCAGGGTTTTACATCAGTTAAGTGGCAGTTTGTGGAAAAATAAGTTCAGAGGGAAAGTACAAACAGCTAGTTAGTTAGTAGTAATGAGTTATAATTAGAACACCTCGACCTATGTCATCAACACAGAAAATTCCATCCAAAACACAGAGATGATTTATACACAATTGTTTAAGCAGTTTAAACACTCAGCACTCAGATTTTTCCCCCATGAATTGACCTTTGGCTTGGACAACAAAGAGTTAAGAGCTGGTGAGTTTTGCAGTCTGAGAAACTATAATTCCAAAAAGCAGTTCCACAATGATCACTAAAGTATTACATAAAATAAATTAAGATAGTGAAGCCAAAATTGTGAAATGGATTGCTTATTTATTGTATATTATGTCAAAATCACATCTTGTCTTGTCCTCGTGGACCCAATCTCGTGGTGTGTCTCATCTCATGGAAATTATGTCTTGTTGCACCCCTTCAATTTACTGTAACGTTCAAAGATTTTATTCAAACTTGGCACAATTTATGTTTATATATGAAATATAATCCAAGTGAAATTTTAATCTTTTAAAATGTTTTTGTTCTGGGGGGTTTAAAAGGGGAGCAGGGGTCAAAATCAGACCCAACTTGCTTTAGCCATGGACTTTGGACTGTTTGTGGCAGATGACTTTATTTTATTACAACCCTTTGTACTTTTATACAATGCCAAGTCTTTTTATACAATATTATTAACTATGTTTTAGTGAAAGCAGTAGTTTAACATGTCACATGCACTTTAAGCCCCCCCCCCCCCCCCCCCATGAAACCAACTGATAGGTTACTTGATTAGCAGATTAATGATATAATATCGTTTACTTTTTGTATGATGCACACTGCAAAAACCAAACAGTATATCTTTATAAGAGAGGGTAAAATGGGAGAAGAAATTGCGTATATGTTTTATAAATTCTTTCCAAAAACACACAGAGTCTGGGCAGGTCCAAAATAAGTGAGAGTTGGTTTCATTTTTCAGTTTGCAAAATGTACAGTTTGTGTCCATTGCCCTTCTAAGGTGATTCTTTAGCAGATAACAGCGATGTAGAAGTTTGTAGCTGATTTCTCTTTGCTTGTTGTTGATGAGGTCTTTGTGAGGTCATGTCCATATATTTTTTCCATGGAATATTGTCAGCAGAGTTGAGTAGGGCTCTGTTTGGGAGGTGCACTTGTGGAGATAGTCACTCTTTTTCCGCAGCGGCTCATTATAAGGCAAGTTTAATTGAAGATGAACCCAAGTAAGTTCCTTCTGAAAAGTTTTTCTAAGTTTGGTGCACAGCATCTTAACTCACGCCTGCTCAAACCGCCACCTTTGGGTGCTGCCACTGTCCAACCAGTTTAGGCTCCTGGCACCACTAATGACATCATTCTGTTGCAGCCAGTGAAATAGCAGCATGGGTAACCCTGTCATCATATCACTGAATACATCTCAGAGCGTCTAATAAACAAAATGTGAACTAAAACGTGTTCAATTAATACTATTGAGTTTAGAAAAATATCTGAATAAATGTATATTTTTGTTTCTTAAAATAAAATGTCAAAAATTGGTAGGGACTATTTTTTGTCTTCCCCAAATATTGGTTGTGACATGTCCCCACTTTCCCTATGTAAACCTATGCCCTTTACACTGCAGGTTTGAATTTACTACTACTACTACTACTACTACTACTACTAATAATAATAATAATAATAATAATAATAATAATAATAATAATAATAATACGAGACAAACAAGGAAGTTCATGAATGGTGGTTTTAAAGTGATGGGTTTTCAGGGCTTTTTTAAACATGGAGAGTGTGAATGAGTTTCTGATAGTACTTACGGTTTGTTGTGAGAGTGTCCTGGTTTGGAGTCATTAAGGGGAAGTACTTTCACACCATAGTTATGCGGCTGCTCCTCCTCTGCACCTGCACCAGCCCGCTCCATTGTAACTCTGACAAAAGATATGAGTTAGATAACACGAGGCAGCCACAACAGGAGCAAAGTGTGTTTAACAGTTAGAGAAAAACGTATAATTGAAGATGACGATTGTGGGTAGATTTTCCCCAACAGCTCTACAAGAAAACTATGCATTTTAAGAGCTGTCACTGCTAATCCACAAACATTTTAAAGGGCCCATATTACATTATTTTTTGATCTGTTATAATGTTGTTTCCTAATTCTAAGTAAGTTTTCAGTAGACATTTTTTTTTATATTTCGTGGCAAAGTAGGTCTACAAAGTTATTCATAGTGAAATTTGGCATGTCCTTATTTTGTGTTTGTAAGCTCCATTCACGTTCATCGTTCACTAGACTCATTTGGGTGAGTTCAGCCCTGGAATTTCCAATCTCTGCTGAACAAAAGGTGAAAGGTCGCTGTTAAATTGAAAACCATATGACTTCACAAGGTGGAACAGAGCATTTTGAGTTTTGGAGATGTTGACAGACTAATAATAAAGGATTACTCAAACCAACAAAATACAACTCCAGGTATATATAACAGCATTATGGCTTAAAGCTCACAAGAGTAAATTTTGTGCAATATAAGACCTTTAAGTAAGATATCTGCTCGAGTCTAAAGCATTAGTTATTTCTGGTGCCTTGCTTTACTAGAAACTATTGTTTCATTGCTTTGTTTGTCACTATTTGGCGATATCCAGATTTACCTGTTCACAAACTGCTTGTGTAATCATAGTAAATAAGGGCAGGTGAGATTTCCCTGTGGAATACATTGTTTTTTGGCACAATATATCCAAAAGGTAAATTCACAAATGCTGAACCTGATCATTTCTACTAGCGACCGGACCCAAGAATTCACTGTATTACAGCAGAAATCAGCATTTTAAAGGTGAATTGTGTAACTTTTCTGGTGGTGGGCTGTCAAATGCTTTTCTTCACTGAGATATTATTGCTTTGTCAGGAATGTTTCACAGTATGGCATGAAACGTTTCTATTTTAATGGAGACCAAACCAGACCAAGATAAAGAGGAGCTGTTTAATGTCATACTGTGGAACATTCCAGGACAGAGCAATGACATATTCAAAGAAACAAGAAGATGACAGATCCCCAACCAAAAAGTTACATAGTGCAAATTTAACAACATTAATTTTAGCTGCTCCTCATATTGTTAAATATTATACTATACCCACTATATAATTATATAGATAGAATTATATAGAATGTTGTGACGTTATCGCAAACCCAGTTATTGTTCTTCTATATCGTAGTATAGAATGTTAGGTTCATATCACATTCTATAGTTTAAAATGGAGAGGGAGGACATGTCAGAAGTCTATGGTATGTTTTAACTGTCAAAATGCAGATTTGTTGACCTGCTTTATGTTTAAAATATTTGTAATTTCTAGTCCCTTTCATGTGCAACAAAAATGGTAAGTAGTACAATGTACAATGTAATGTAAAATAATTTTTTATTTATTTTTTTTGGTGGCATTATTCAGTGAGAATCATTATTGCGTTCTATTGAAATTACATTTTATAAACTTAATCCCTAATAAGTGGAAAACACAGCAATAGGTAAAAACACTGGAAAAAATAACAATCTTAAACAAATATTGAGTTAAGATAAGTTAATAAGTGCTTGAATAATCTTACTCTCTTTGCATAAAATAAAATAAAAGCATAAATGTCTCATGTTACTTGCAATAAGAAAAAGGCAGATATTTTCTTGAAATACTTGAAATTAGGACACAAATGCTTCTGCACTTAAAATAAGACTAAAATAAATAAAAAAAAAACTTTATGCTTCTGTACTTAATCCTGTTGTAAGACTATTTCGAAATAAACTCAAATTACAATCACTCCTACCTCATTCAAGCACGTATTAACTCACTTGTATTGCATTTTCAGAATAAAGACTAAAAATGTGGGTGACAAATGAATGAAAATCTAACATACCTTTTTGATGTCTGAAATAGCGACTGTGACTTTTCATACTTTCAGTTTCAGATGAGAGATGCCCCACCCCCTTCACTTACAAGAAGTCATGTGACTGGATGTTGCCCTGTGATTTGATGTTGTTTTGTCATGGGAGAGAGTACGTTTGTACATGGGAAACGAGTGATACTGATGAACCTTTATTGTCAAGCAGTTATTTTACTCACTATGAACAGAAAGCTGCATAAATAAATCTTGCTTTATTAAGTGGAAGATTTTTGTAAATTATATGAAAAATGTGTGTTTTACTCTTTGTACTAGGAGTTTAAATATTGCCAAAATATATCCTTAAAAAGAATATGCAATCTTATCTCTCCACAGATCTGACCTGTAACTTGGCTTAGTGGCACCACCTGCTTGTCTCCATGAGGATTGTGAGTTGCCTGTACTGTGGAACATTCTAGACAAAGCAAGTACAGAAAAGTAACTTAGTAACACTACATGCTTGTTTCCATGGAGATTGATAAATTGCACTGTGGAATATTCTAGACAAAGCAAGAACTTCCTCATGAACACAAACTAGTAATGAACCACCATCAGAAAAGTGACACAGTGCACCTTTAGTTAATAAATACATTAAAAAAAGTCAGATTTAATATGTCAAACTTCCGGTACATCAGATCCCACTGTTCTTTATAGGCTGCAAAAATGTTCATGTATTCAATGGCCCTACCACACATCACTTACTGTTTAACAACTTGGTCTGATGCAAACAAAACCATCCTAAAACCCAGAACTACTATACAAACAGACAATAAAAATATTGTACAAAAAGCTCATGAGATATCACCACTGCAAAAAGCACAACCTGTTAAGCTGGGAAAACCTCATTAAGTAATTCAAACCTTTGTCTCATTTATAAAATCATCCATGGCCAGTCATCTCCTCCACTGTCTCAGATCAGAACCACCACACAGCAACTCATTCGAGGGGCGGCCCATGGAGACTGCATCGTTCCATCACAGAATCTCAGTAGTGGAACAGTCCCTGGCAGCATCACAGACCTAACAGTATACAATCTATTCAAAAAACATGTTAAAGAGACAGTCTTGAATTTTGGACATAGGACCTCATTTTCTAGTTAGCCAGAGTGTTGGAGACGTGTGGAGACACTTTTTTAAAATATTCCATCCAGTCCTTGTATTTACAGAGGTCACTGGTGCCTGAGTTGTACTTCCTGATAAAAAGCTCGGCAGCGGCGGACTGATATCACCTGGCACCTACCTTAGCGGCAAAGTAAAATTCCACTACTGCTGAGAAAATAGTCCCTCAACATGCAACGATTCATGTGATGCAAGGTTAGTTTTATTTCAAACATTAACACACACACAGACATTTACATCGACAGTCTGGCGTAATAATTTGCGTCGGGTGTTTTGTGGAGTGGGTAAGACTGTTTTTAGTGGCAGGCTAACTATGGCCATTGACATGCACTAGCCTAGCACCAGTGACCTCTGCAAATACAAGGACTGGATGGAATATTTTAAAAAGTGTCTCCACACGTCTCCAACACTCTGGCTCACTAGGAAATGAGGTCCTATGTCCAAAATTCCAGACTGTCCCTTTAAGAACTGGCTAATAGCTCATCAATAACTCACTCTGTGGTTATGGTTGTTAGTGTTTGTTTGTATTCCTACTGTCTTTTAATTGAACTGTTACACAATTACACTTTTTTGTATAGTTCTTATTGTTAGTGTTGGTGTGACCATGTTTACCATCTGTCCAGATTTACAAAAATGTTGATTAATGTAATGTAATTATCTATAAACATTAAATTATAGACTATTGATTTTCATAAACATCTCAAGAAATCTGGTAACTCTTTACTTTCTTCCACTGGTCATTTGTGGAGAGATTCTTTTAAAATAATTAGAAAAACTTCAGTCTTGCCGTGTCAGGCCTGCACTCAGCACTCCCTCCATCACACAGTGCATATATATCTGCTTACATACACAAAGATGATAGCGATCAATACCGAGTGCTGACCGAGCCCAGCACCAGCCAGACTCCGCGTGGGGACAGGACAGCCTCCTGTAGCCCCCGCGCCCTCTCTTCGGTCCAGGGCCACCACGGGACATTAGTCATCCCGGGACAGGGCAGGTGGGGGGGTGGGGCCGTAAGTCAAACGCCCGCCCCGCGCTAGATCAACCCCCCACGCGCACTGACACAAGCACTTCGTCGAGGTTAGACTCAAATGAAAATGTCACCGGTGAGATACAGCGCGGAAACACAGCGGCCACAAGATCAGAAGAGACGTTCAAGGCAAGAGGTGTGGGAAGAAGACATAGGCAGAAGTGATGGTTAAAGGTGCACTGTGGAACTTTTTCAGGAGTCTCCATGGTGTTAAAGGCAGTGTATCTAATTTTCACTGTGTTAAAGGTGCTATATTGTGCAACAAAACAGACTCTTGTAAGCTTTTAGTTATGTTAGAATGTAGATACCTCATCAAAAACAGATACCTGGAGTTGTGTCTCGTTTCATTTACACATGTTTGAGTAACCCTTTTTTATTATTCTGTCTATATCTCTAAAGCTCAAAATGCTCTGTTCCACCTTGTGATGTCATGTATTGGTTGTTAATGTCTACTTTTTACCTTTAATTCAATAAAATAGGTAATTACATGGCTGAAATTATGCAAATCTAATGAAGGTGTATGGAGTTTAAAAACACAGTGGAGCACTTGCATTACCACATGACATCACAAGGTAGATTAATGTGTTTCTGTTTGTTTCATCTACAATGACTAAATATTGTGTTATTGTGTTTTTTTTTTTTGTTTTTTTTTTTTTTACTTTCCCCACCTGTAAAATTACCACCAGTGTAGCCAGTGCATAACTCTGAAGGAAATGTCTCCCTCTGCTGGTGGATCAGGGGTGTTGGTGAACATTTAACTCGCTTAACTGAATTAATTTTTTGTAATTTTACAAAATGGTAAATATTAAATAAAGAAGAAGAAATGGAAACATTGATTGAGTCTGAGGTATTTATAAAAGATTTTCTAAAGTAAATTTGAGATATATTAGGTCAACACATTTGCATAGAGATAAGTTGCTATGTAGGATTTTTTTCTCAAGCCATAACCATCTAAACATATATCAAAAGTTTCATATGTAGAAGATAATCCCTATGTAGGAGCAGACTGAGGAGCGCTGTGAACTGAATGAAGAAACTCCACACTCCAATCAGATTGGACTTACAGACAGCAGGAGGCTCTTAGACCAGGCACCAAGCACATCTGCCCACTGTGAGGAGAGCTACTTCTAAGATGGGTTTTCAAACTGGAATTTACATATAAATCATTTGGACTAAATACAGGAAAAAGACATGGTAAAAAACAAAATCTCCAGTGAATCCACCAGGGGGAGACAAAGTGCACAATTTGTAATGGTCTGAAACGACAATACATGCCATGTTTGATGAATAATGCCAAGTGAGTACATAAAGTAGTATAATAAATGATATGGAGCTCAACCCCCTGGTAAGTTTTTATTTTTTTTATTTAATTTTCCCCATAGATATTAAAAGTTTGAAAGCTTGCTCAGAACTAATCAGCTAACTAATGAACAATAGGCCTATCATTTTAATTCATATCTATTTCTGAAACTTTATAATCTGCAAAGTTATTTAAAATTTCACAGACTCTTGCATTTTAAATGTGTTTTTGGACTTATGGATATTGGTTACCTCATACCTCAGCCTCCACAGTGTCTATGAATTCTTAATATTAGAATTTATTGGAAAGTCTAAGTGAAAAGTGAATGGAAAATTGACTTATGGAGTGAGCAGTTACTGTTGAGCTCCATTTCAGTCACATTTAAGTCTAAAGAAAAAAAAAAAGAAAAATGAAAGAAAAATAAAGAAAAAACAAACCATAAGATTTATATATAAAATGATTTTTAATACATGTATTCGGTTATAAATAGGTCTATAGGTGACATGTGTTCTATACAGTTCTATATCTAAGTTAAGTTTTCATAGTGTCACCAATACATTATGTCATTATTTCACTACAGATTTATTTTATTTTTATAATGTAGTGAAAAGTGGTCTGGAATCATTGGAGTTCCTCAGGTTCACTAGGCTCCACACTTGTTTACACAATGAGAATGCTACTTACAAACACAACAAAAGGTCCTGTGAGGTAAAGCAAGGCATTTTATTGCAAGTATTAGTCAAAGATACACTTCAAACTGAAGCAAAGCAACACTAAAAGGCCAACAACAGTCAGATACAAAAAGAAACGTGTAGTGAAAAGTGAAAGGAATCAAACCGCCAGTGTTACAGAGCCTTTGTAACGAAATGGTGATGCGTTCAGGTGCATCCGGTCAAATAAGACTGAAAATACAAGAGGTCATGCTACATTGTGGAAAAACCGTCAAAAAACTGTATTATTAGGTCCTTGGCCACTATCAAACACCTGCCTTGAAAACCACTGCAGACTAAAACATAGCGGCACGGGACTAATCTCTTATTTGCAATATTTGAAGACGGAATGCTAAAATTAAACATATTATTATTATTAGAATACAGATTTAAAATGATTTGGATTGAAAAGGTATTTTGTTTTGTCAGATCAACGACAATTAAAGCCAAAAATACAGCATTTGCACTCACATTGATTCATGACACAGGCACAGTTCTCCAGCTTTTGGGTAAAAATAAAATTACAAATAAAAACAAAATAAAAAGTATCCCAATTGACTCTGTCCACAGCAGCATGCTAACAGTCACTTTTATAAATATCATAAAATATCAAATAAACAATCTATTCAAATTCAAATTAATTAAAGTGAAGCCAAGTCATAAAAAAAAAAAAAAAAAATAGAGATAACTTCAGTTTGTGGAGTTGTTTTAATATTTATTATGGCTCAAAATTAGCATTAGCATTAGCATTGAGAAAGAAACCTCTACTATTGTAAAAGCAGAAGTGTCCTCCACTGAAGTATTGATTATTTTTGTGTACTTTTTAACATTTTGTCAGTGATGTCCACCCACAACTCTCTGTCCAATACTTTATCTTTAAATATTTATTAATTTTAGCATGACTCAGCTAACCCCCATAGATACACAATTGGACAAGAGGTAGTGACGCTAACAGTATTGTGCACAGAGCCTATTAGGGAAAAAACTGGGAAAAATGAACTGAAAATATGGCTAGAATACATGAAACACACAACACGATACGTACCAAGTCAAATTATTATTATTATTAGTTTACAGAAATGTTTATTAAAATTTTGAACGTATACACTTTTGAGTAGATCAGCAGCGATTTTAGTGGTTTTGAGTGAAAGTGAAAAACCCAGTGGACAATGTGGACAGATCAAGTACGTAGGTTTTGTAGTTAGGCATTTGCAGAGTCACATAGTAATCTGAAAAGCACTTAAGGTTGAGGCATGTTTTATTTTCTTTATAGTGGAATGAGACCAGTTCTTTCCTAAAGTGTTTTTGGTAGAAAGAAAATAAAATCATAGAATATTGATGGTTAATAAGCAATCCATAAAAAATTGTGCCATAGAAAATAGCCTTCCATTTTAATTGCTCCCTTAAAAAGTTCAGGAATCGCCAGGGAGCTAGTAGGTTTACAAGCAGTTAGAATGATCAGTTAGGGTTTTTGTTGTTCTTGGTTTTTCTTTACTTTAAATGTTTTGAATTTCAGATGGGAAAGTTTGAAATAGAAATACATGATACAGAAATCTTTTAGCCAGCCAAAACATATTGCCTATATAGGGTTGAATTATCTGAAATTTACATAATTTGACTTGTTTCACAGCCTTCTACTTGTTTTCAGAATAATTTTGTTTTGAAGCACAATATTTTCAATTCTAACAGCAAAAACATTATCTTGAAAAACATGGCAATGTACAAGAAACAGAACTGAAATGTAGGTTAAACAAAGTAATTCCAATTTGTTCAGACTCCTCAAATTCTTAAGTAATTTCAACTCAGATTATAACAAAGATTCTAAATAGTTAAACAATATTTATTTTTTGCAAATTTTTTTTGGCATCATCTGAATCTTTAAGCGATGTAGTAACATTTCAGATGGACTTAACTTTTTTTTTTTTTTTTTTATTCTACTTGCATGTGAACGTATGAATAGTGCTGTGATTGGAGGGAAAGGCGCTCTCGGTAGAAGATTGAAACATTTGAAGGAGAAAATGAGCAGTGAACTTTTGGCTCTGTTTGTGAACCCCTCGACTCCGCCCCCCATCCATGTTTTTGTGCTTGTGTGTCTATAAGGCGTCAACATGGAGGGGGAGGGGCTAAGGCCGCTTCCTGTTGGCTCCGCCCCCGCCACGCTATATGCAAGCTAGTATGTGATGCGGAGACTCCAGCCGCGTATACTCAATAAATACACCATAAAATATTCCGAATATATATAGTTTTCATATATATTTATAGAACAACACATTTAAATAGGACAACAAAAAAATCGGCTCAAGAACAAATTTCTCAAAATTGGATAAATGTTAAGACAAAACAGAGTATTTTACAGTTATTTCTAAAATAGTATAAGAATATCGCAATCAGGCATTACTCAAGCAGTATATGTAAAAGCAATTTGCAGGATTTTTTGTCATGTAGTTTAACATATGCAGCATACCAAGGTAAGTGAGGTGCAGTGTTTTGAGATCTCTTGTAAAAATAAGACCCCCCTTTGCCCGAACTGAAGAGTTGCCCACGGAACTACCTTGTTTATACAGATATCCTAGACTCACATAGTAACAGGTTCATACAATTAAATGCCATGGTTTAAAGCTACAGTGGAAAATTAACTGACCAAAGAGTTGGCAATGTAGCAACATGTAATAACTATGCAACTGGAAGCCCTTTCACACAATATTTGTTTTTTGTAACCAGTGCTTTCTTATTTTAGGTCCATTTTGTGGACTGTTTACACTTGATCCAGTTTTTGGACTGTTAATTGCATTGGCAACAGTCCTATTTTTTATTAAGTTAAACCCATGGACTGGCTCATTTGCAACTGACACTAGAGCAAGACTGATATATCAATTGCCGATATCTGAAATGCCCATAGAGCTTTACATACTTTAGTGCAAAGAGATAACAGCTGTAAAATGTGAGTACACAGCTCTCTAATGGGTTTGGGGGGGAGGGCGCTGAAATCTAAATCGGTATCGGCCATGAAAAAAATCCATAACGATGGATCTCTAACTGATACAGGTAGTCTTTTGTTGTAAATTGTCAAATATATAAAAATGTGGACATCTTGCATTCCACTGCACGAGCTATAACACATGGCATTTGGAACCGAGGAAAGCCCAGGGCATAGGGCACAGGGCACACTTCCGCTGAGTGACTGTAGTTTGGGGGGACAACTTGGACTGGTCTGGTGTGGTGGGTTCTGGAGGGACTTGGCTTTGTGTCTGTGTAAGAGTGGCAGTCTCTAAAGTGCTGTGCTGTTTGTCATTTTGAGCAGGGCTGTGGCAGAACACACTAGTGTCGGCTTTGTCCCCAACATCCCCCATAAAGCGTCCCACACATGCTCCTGTACCAGCGCTACCATTGGTCCAAGGAACTAAAAGCAAAAGCAGACCCTAATCCAACTATCCAACTTCACACAAGTTCCAACTACATGAAACAAGTACGCATCCAACTGAGCTATATGAAACACAAGTTGACCTTCTGTTACACGCAGAAGCTGCGCCAGGCATTTTTGGTTCTAGGAGCTATGAGGGCACAAAGTTCATCAATAGGGGTGCGCACTTAAAGGTGCATTGTGTAACTTTTCAGATGAAGGGAATATTACATGCTTTTCGTCATGAAAATGTTATTGCTTTGTCAGGAATGTTCCACAGTATGTTATTAAATCAAAGCAGACCAGGTTACAGGTCAGCTCTGTGGAGAGGCATCCCTGCTCACACTGAGAATGCCTGTTTTTCTAGGTATTTGAGCTATAAAACTACCTCTAATTAATAAATATAAGGTAAAACTGTTTGATGTCATACTGTGGAACATTCCAAGCAGTGAAATGACATATCCATAAAAAACAAGCAGGTGAGGGACCCTCCACCAGAAAAGTTACACAATGCACTTTTAACATGTACTTGTAGAGCCTTTTAATGGATGAGTGCACCCCCACCCTCAACCATGTTTGCTTCACAGTTTTGAACAAGTTTAAATGTAGTTAGTCACTGTAGTGATTTAGAAGCCCTAAACATAGTTTTATTGTTGTCTCATTTTGAACTATCTCAGGTCGCCATTTGAACCCATGCCCATAAAAATGGGGCAAAATCTTTAGGGGAGCTATGGGGATGCACTGGCCATTCTAGGGGAGGCTAGTGCCCCCTCAAGCCCCCCCTGGCGCCACCTCTGGTTACATGAAACAGACATTAGGGTCAACTATGTTACATGAAACAAAAGTTAGGTTTCAACTGTGTAACATGAAACCAAAAGATTTACATTCAGCTCTGTTACATGAACCACATATTAGCTTTCAACTTTGTTACACGTGTGCCAAGAAAACTAACGTACAGTGAGCGCATTGTACAGTTCCACCTGCACTGCAAAACATTACTGAAAAAAATTGTTTGATTTGACATTTTGTCATTCAGTTGACAGCACCATCGAGAGAAAGGCACTTCCTTTTGACCCTGCTGCTTTTCCCCACAGCAAACTGAGCAACATTTGCTTTCTTTGACAATGTCACTTTCATCGGACTTCTTAACTAGACTTGGAATATACTCACAAAATCCATTCACTGACATCGAACACATCTGCTATGTAAACATGTGTTCAAGAGCCTCCTCCCCATCACCCTTTAGGCACAGCAGAGAGAGAGCAAGCAATAGAATATAATACCACCTCATAACATCTGACTGACCACACTTACTGAACACTAACTTATGTCTTTCTTTACAAAATGGATGGGATTGTATAGCTGTGGAATGTAGTCCAGTTTTGGCGTGAGGGGCTTGCGAACAATACACCAACAATACAAAAAGCAAGAATTTTACGTTTTTTACAGGTTTAGTCAGAGCACAGAGGGACATTTTTTATGAAGTGGCAACAAGGCAGCCTGAAATCCAGCTTGAAATCTCTCAAAGAAACACAACTACTTCTAGCTTTGACGCAGTTTGCATTGATCACGCCAGTCTACGTTCAAAAGCACTTGGACCAATTAGGAGCAAGCTTCAGCACCAGTTTAAGGAAAAAAACGACATTCAAAAGTGTAGATCCTCACTCGCACTGTCCTCTTGGAACTATTATTGTCAACACAGTCAGTTTTTTTAAAGGCCTTGTACAAAAGACAAAAATTGAACAAAATAACGGGCTGCACAATAAAGATACAGATTAAAACATAAGTCCATATATCCTTATATCTGTAACAGTACGGAAGTCCAAACGCGCACGGCTACTTTCACCAACCTACCAAACTCTGTACAGTGACACAGGAACAGTCTATTGCAGTAATAAAACTTGATCTTTTTTATACTTACGATATACACTGATAACGACCATTAAGTTATTTTTTTTCTATTAGCAAAAATAAGTGGTGTGCATCACATAATTTAAAATGTACAAATATATTTTCCATCTATCTGGCTTTTCAAAAAGGCATCAGGACACTAGGGAGAGCCACTGGTTTCTATGCTGGAGGGCTAGCCAATAACAGCGCAGAGGGGGCTATAGAGGTGAGAGCGCCCCCATGTGGCTCTGTTCTAGTATAGCTAACTGCAAAATAAATCCAGCAATGGGAGGGTACTTGTACTTTCTGGTCAATGGATTTGTGATATGAGGAAAAAAATTAATCAAATGTATTTGCAATAATACCAATAACAAAACAATTTAGGAAAAAGATTTCCAATTTGATTGTAGAATCTTCTTAAAAGTTCACATTTTAAACACCCAAGAGAATTAACATTTGAGAGAAGACTAAAATCTTAATTATTTAACTAATCCAAGAATCCCATAGATGTTTGGTAAAAGTCTAAACGACAGGGTTAGAAGTTAATTTAAACATATTAAGTTAAAATTGCAAAATTTTGATTCAGTTGCAAAATATCTTACATTTTGCAAGATCTTATATCTATTTTCTATCATTTGTGGTTTTACAAATTTGCACAAATGAAAAATACTGTTCTCTAAGGATTCACTCTTAAAATCCTTGGTCTTGTGACATCGCTGTAATAAAAATATAGAAAGCAGCACTTTTGAATTATGTTAATAAGATTTCCTGCTAATTGTAGATTAGAACGACAATTTTAAGACAAAAATAGCTTATCTTCAAATTGAGTTTTCCAGCTTATCCAAAACTACTGGCCATGAAGTACATCTACCCAATCCTCCAGTGATGCGTAGTGACTGAAAATTAGCACCCACCATAACTCTATATGACATTGTCCTGCTCAGAGCGATTCAGATTCAGACTGAAGTATAGCACCACAACTGTGTTCCCTCCAGAAACACACGTCCTTTAGTGCAGTTTCACTTTTTAAAAACATCACAACTAGAGATGATCTTCGGCAGCACAGTTCTCCACTTTTGAGTTTACATCTTATGCAACTCAATCACATACTTTGTTCTCAATCTAGACTCACCCTTCTCTTAGTAGTTGAAAAACACATGCCTAAAATTGGACTGCCTCAAAGCCCACGATAGCAGCGGAGTACACATGTTGAGGAACTAGGTTTAAAGGTGCATTGTGTAACTTTTCTATTGGAGGGTCTGTCAAATCCTTTTTTTCTCCATTGAGATGTCATTGCTTTGTCTGGAATGTTTCACACTATGGTATAAACCTTTCTATCATCTTGGAGTCCAAACGAGACCAAGTTACAGGTCAGATCTGTGGAGAGCCAACCCCGTTCATAGTCAAAATGCCTGGTGTTTCTGAACTATAAAACCACCTGTAATTTAATACACATAAGGTCGATCTGTTTAATGTCATAGTGAAGAATATTCCAGGAAGAACAATGACAGAAATAAGGAGATGATGGACCCGTAACCAACAAGGTACATAGTACACCTTAAAATGCTGCTTTTACATAGCTCTAACATTGGTTAAATCAATAAATATATATATATGTATAAATGATTCTAAAGTAATTTTAGTACTGTCAGTTGTATATAGCACGCTAGTTACCCATGTATTATTACTAGAATCGGACTGACCTTTAAATGCTTAGAGTCCACCAGGCACTTGAATACTACTCTTTATAAACCTTACACCAGTATCATAGGTAAAATCTTCAAATAACATTTCCGCAATATGCCCATTAACAAAGTAATATCGTCGAAATAGTCCTTCAAGTACAATAAAAAATAATTCACCATCAGCATTTATACTCAAGGCCATATACTTTACAAAATCTGCTTTAAAATGAAATGTTTCTGTAACCGCTATAATTGTCCCCTATAATTATTCTTCCCTTCATTCTGATTATTGCACTAGAGAAATTATATTGTGTTACACTGACTCACCATATAATTTAGTAAAAGAAACAAAGCATAGCAGGAAAAGATACTAAAAAGATCTAGGCGTAAAAACATTAAATATTGAGTTAAAATGCTTCACATAATACCAAATATATTGAATTACAACAACAGTGTGAAAAAGAATAGGGCGAGAATTCATATCAGCCACTGTGCCCCATGTAAAAAGGGGAAAAAAACAGCTAAAATAATCTCGTATGAGACGTTGCAAGACAGCTTGGGGCATTTTTACCTCGTCGCCAACAGGTGGCAGTGCTCTCAAAAGAAATACAAAGAGAAGAATCTCAAATTGAAAATAAACAATGATGACAGTTAAATATTTCTGGCTCTAGACTCAAACTTTTGCATTCTCTGCTTTGTTTTGAAAAAAAAAAAAAAAAAACACGCTAAAACACAAGTATAAAAATGCTGCTCAGACTATTGATGGCAATGGAGCAGATTCACTACAGAGAGATTGCGATAAATACTTTTTGGAAAGAAAAGATGTCACGCAAACAAAACAAACAAAAATAAGCACCACAAAGCGACGAAAGGGAGGAGGCAAAACAGATCGGAGGGGTGCAAAAATGGTAGGAATCTGGTTGGCTGGTTCAATATTGCATAATAGTGCTGAGTTTGTTTCGTATGTCATTTTTAAAGCCACGTTTTGCATTCTCCAGTCCAGTGTGGGGGCCCCTTCTCCTTACTCTCCTCTGCACAGTGTCCGGTCCAGATTGACGTAAAGGGATGAGAGCGGCTTCACAGGACCAGACAGGCGCGCTTGTGTGAGGGCGAGTGAGTGTTTGGATGTGGTGGTGGTGATGATGATGATGATGAGGGCATGTCAGGCGAAGTACATGGTCCTCAGGGTGTCATGGTGGATCTGCACGGCTTTGGCCAGAGCCTGAGGGTCCCGGCCGTTGCTCTGACCGGACACGTGGCTGCCTTCAGCGCTGGGGACAAGACCAGAGGAGAGGGTGAGATATGGGGAAGAAACAGAACAGCTTGTAGCAGTGTGTATTTTCATGTTATGCACTAAAGGTAACTGTGACATTTTTAAAACTGCATGTAAATGGTCACATTTTTTATAGTGATTTTCCAACTCAAAGCGCTTTACATCAAGGAACCACTCACCCATTCACACACATATTCATACATTTATCAGCATTTTGTCACTCAACCTTTACAATATCCAACTACAGTCAAGGACGACAACTTCCAAAGTGAGAATAAGCGCCCTAGCATGTTTCAGACAGTTTAGTCTTGAACCTGCCAGCTCACCTGTCATGTTCTTTGTCCACCAGATGGTAGCGGGCACGGAAGGCCACCAGGTGGGCGTAGTATGCGGGTGCAGGGATGGACACAGAGCGGGTACAGCGCACATACGTGTGGCACAGCTGGTAGGTCAGCAGCTGGAACTCATCGGCTGTGAAGCAGTTGTCGTCCCACAGGACGTGGTAATGAGAGGGCCGACTTGTGCCCTGCAGAAACACCAGGTTTTAAACTGGGCTCAGGCTGCACACACAGCGGAACTGTGTGGAATATATGAGGGCTGGGGTCTATAGGTTATGTGTTTATTTAAAGGCAGAACAAATGAAGGAGAACAGGGCACTAAACCTTCAAGCTCAACAGACCAGTGTTGTACTAGTTTATTTATTCTAAAATACTTAGGGATGAGATGAGGCACAATTTCCATAAAATGAGAAGAGACACAAGATTATGTCAATAAGAATGAGACAAGATGGGATTTTGACATCATTTAGAATAAATAAATTGTGTGGTTCAGTTCATAATTTTGTCCACACAATATTGATGAACTTTATTTAATATATTCATATTTCATTGTAGCACTAATATTTGGAACTACAGCTTCTCCTGAAATGTAAGTGGCCAGGACTAACGTATTGTCGGATAAAAATGTAAAGAAATGGAATTACAAATTAAAAGTAAAGTAAAGAAAATGCAAACTCCCACCTGTATCCCGGCGTGACTGCAGAGGTAAAAGTCAAACTCATAAGGATGTGTGATGTCCGTGTCCACAGTCGTACCAGCAGGAATGTTTCCACTGCGGCCAACCTGACAAACAGCACAGGGCAAGTCAAACTTATGCTCTCCAGACAAAAGACAGGAGTAAAAGGGAACACAATAACAGGGCTGTCTCTACCATTTTGTATTCTATTTGATTATAACTCTTATGATAATTTATTTCATTTTTCATCTCCTCACCTTACCTTGAGTTACTTTCATCAATATTTTTTCATTTATACTCCATATTTACTTTGGTTATTATTATTAGCAGTATCATTCTGCCTATCATCAGATACTTAGGTACAACAAAAATTGCCAACAAAACTGGTCTGTGGGCCGCATTTGGCCTCCGGGTCATAGTTTGGACACCCCTGTTCTAAAGAAAGAGTTATTGTGGTAATGAAATTGGCATTCAGTATCAAGTTTAGTCTTTACTATCAAAATAGTGTTTGAAATTTTAGTATCGTGACAACACTAAAAACCACCAAGGTCAGCAAAAAATAGGCTAAGCATTTATTTATGCCACCTTTGACTGAAAAAAAAACTCCATGCATTTTCCCAGGCTAAGGTTTACCAAGTCCTCTCCTATTAACCAATTAAAAGCTTAATACCCCAGGGCCCACTCTCCTCTGTATGACTGTATGCCTGTTGCGTCTGCTATAGCCCTGTATAACTGTAGGGGCCTTTAAGTGCCACTCCAGAGCATTCACTTTAGAAGAGGCTTGAATCCATTAATTGACTATAATTACAGGGACTGGGTCGGTTAAGTGTTGCAACACACAATAAGGTAAAATAAGAGGGCCCCCGCTGAGCACTTAATGTGAATACATAAAGAGAATATGGTAAAATATGGCGATGTTGGTGACGTTAATAAGGAAGCTCCATTGTGTACTCACTCTTTCGTTTCGGTCGGCACAGAATAGGCGCGTGTGGTGGCGTTTTTGCACAACAATGTAGGTGATGCCAGGCTGGTACTCCTTCTCCAGGCTGATGCAGGCTTCACGGATGGCCAGCAACTCGTAATACAGCACCTGAAGAATATGTAATCAATAAATAATTCTATAATTGTATATAAAATGTATTTTCATAACTTCTGCACAAGGCAGGATTAAGAATATGGGAGCTAAAAAGTACTAGTATAGGTTTTGAGGTTTCAAATGCTTTGTCAAATCAGGAAATGTAATTGCAAGTAAGACTGCACCATGTTAGAAAGAAAAAAATTACAGTATTGCAAATGTGGTTAGAATTACGATTTATCTATACAAAAGTAAGATTCTGTTCATAGTGCAACATAGTGCACCTTTAGACTAGCCTAGAATATTTACCACAAGTCTGGTAAATATTTGGTTAACCTTCTTGATGCCTTGATTCAAAAATATGGTATCACAACGACCTTAAAATCAACTTCTCACCAAAGCCTGTGTAGCTGTACCTGTCTGAACTGCCCCTCTGACACTCCGTCCCTGTAGAAGATGATTCTGGTGGGTTTGTAGCGTGTGGACTTGTAGAACTGAATGAGCAGCTCTCGCACCATCGAGGCCAGGTCCTGGATCACCTCCTGTCTGGGCCTCTGCACGCGCACAGTGGCACAGTACCTGCTGGGGTGGGCGTCCATGCTGCCCACCACCTGAGACAGAAACCACAAAAGAGAGGAAAAGAAAAGAAATTAAATCGAGTCCTAACTGTTTAAAGGTCCTATATTACACAGTTTAACTCTTGTGAGCTTTTAGTCATGTTAGAATGTTGTTAATTCCTCAAAAATATACCTGGAGCTGTATTTTGTTTCATTCACACTAAATTTCAAAAGCTCAAAATGCTCTATTCCAACTTGTGATGTCATGAAGTGGTGGTTTTCAAGTTAACAGCTCCTTTTATGTTTAGTTCAGTATAAATAGATTATTCCAGGGCTGAAATTCTCCAAATAATTCTAGTGAAGGTGTAGGGAGTTTCAAAACACAGTGAAGCACTTCCTGTCTTACCACAGAACATCACAAGGTGGAAGAGTTTTCTGTTTGAGAGAAGAACTCATCCTAAATATGCAGGATTTCTGTGTAAAACGTGTGAATGAAACAAACACAACTCCTGGTATGTTTCTGATGAGGAAACAACATTATAACAGAGATCAGAAAATAGTGTAATATGGGCCCTTTAATGTATTCTGAAGTCAAGAAAAGAAAACTTACAGCTGCAATTGAAGGCTTCTTCCCATCTCCAGCAGGGGGGTGTGTGACGTCTGCTCCCAGGAAGATGACTGGCTGTTGAAACACTGATGGCCTGTAATCAAAATTTATAGATTTTTAAGAATTCAACCACAACCCACATTCAAACAATCCCTGGAAATAAGTTGTATTTAAAATTAGGAATTAGGGAACAGACATAATGTATTGTGCTCATAAATTTAATAGGGATTATAAAATTGGGATCTGCCATGTAAAATGATGGTTATATTGTAATACAGTGCTTTTCTGTTTAATGCAAACAGACAGTTTTTTTGGTCATCCTTCATCATGAGCTAAATGAGTGACAGGTAGACCAATTACAGCTAAAGGTACCAGATTTTTACCATCTGAAAACATGAGAAACAGAAGTAATTAATTTACAGTGTTTTCCACAACTTTATGACACCACTGTAAACAACAACTAGCATGCTAACGGTGTCAGATCCATCGTGTGTACATGGAAAGTCTATGGGGGTTGCACGTCTAGGCTTGTCCAACATTTACATGGCACATTGTCAATGTGTTTCAAACATCTGCCCTCAAATGCAGAGCTGTCCAACTAAAGGTGACAGGATTTTAACATCATAGACTGAACAAAGCATAACAGTGCACCCGCCTTACTTCCTAATTCATGGCCAGTAAAAATGCTTTATAATTAAGATGCAGACAGCACACAACTGTCTTGTTTTGACCTTAAGAACTGCTTACAAAAACATATACACTAGGGCAGATAAAAATCTATATCTAGATGTTTTGCAGTACGCCCATAGACTGAGCCCAAACTGACCGCTGATGAGGGACCAGGATGTTGTTGATGCCTCCCAGCTTGACGTTGATCTTGAGGCAGAGGTTGGAGAGGGTCTGGGGAGACGTCTTCACCACATTCTTCACCTGAACGCACTGTGTGGCCATGCCCAGCAGAGTGTCCCCAACTCGCTTCACTTCAGCTAAAATATAAACAAGCAGGTGGTCAAATAAGGAACTACAGCAAAATACAAACTTCACAAACAATCAGTGTTGGGAAGTAACTGAATACATGTACTGAGAATATGTACTCAGAATACTAATTTTGAGGAACTGTGTTTCTGTACAGTTCAGAACAGTTACTTTACAAAAATCAAAGGAAAACATGGCAGCACCTGATCATACAATTTAGGCTTGAATTTGCACATAATCAGTGAGAAAAACAGAAAACACGTGTAATTTTTGCTTCTCAAATTTGTGATAGCAAATGCAAAACAAACTGTGCAACAGATATAAAGCTATTTTCAGTCCTGTGTTGTGTCTTTATACTATAATTTGCATCTAAGTATTCAGAATACAGTACTCTGATTAGACCATGTATCAGAATACGTTACAAAATACATTTTAATGAAGGCATTCAGTCTTCTGTAACTAAATGCATGTTCTTATTCTTCCCATCACTGTTAACAATATATATTTGACTAGCATTTTTTTTAAGAGAAACTATTTTTTCACAAATCTTGGCTACTGACAAAAAAGTAGAAATGTAAATGTGAATAGACAGAGCTAGTTTCTGACTGAGAGCAGCCCGAGACTCTGGCAGACTGCAGATCCTTTGCCCCAGAGCCATTGAGTGGATGGAGGACGTAGGACAGACTGTATAAAGAAGTAGACTAAGGGAGTGTGACGTCACCCACAGCGTTCGGCTCAAGTCAAATGAAGCTCACGGTGTTAACGATTATAGGGGCAAATTTGGAGCAGAGTTTCATATTAGGAATGGGAAATGATTTACGGACAAAATAGTGAAATAAAAATGCCAGGATCATGTAGAGTGGCTTATTACGAAAAATTTAAAACCAAAATGATGAGGCTCACTGCAGCAGTTACAGAGAGAGGGGTGGCAATTTTTCAATGTAAAGTCAATTGGAAACAGAGTCAATGGAGCTGGAGGCGCCCACATGCTCACTTCCTACTTGAAACGTGACAGCTAGCGGGTTAGCTATGTCCATTTCTATATACGGTCTATGGAGGCTGCACAGAGAGAGATGGGAAAGAAAACTAGGTAGAAAAGTAGTGGAGCTCTACCATATCCAAAACCATACACATTTTCTTGACAATATGGCCAAATGTCTGTGTAATCCCACAGACACAAATAACAGTGTCATCCCTTGCTAGGATTCATAGCAAAAGAAAATTAAATTCTGTAAGCTGAACAAACAAGGAACTACAACAAAATACAGCAGAAATGGATACACTCTGAATACAAGATGGTCTGTAATTAAAAGACAAACAGGTGCAAGATGTATTTTGACAATTACTGTACCATAGACAGGGGTTTTTCCAGGAAGAATGACGATGATGAGTTGCAGTCCAGAGTATGTGTTTTTGAGGTGTCTGAACATGGGCTCCACGCTGTCTGCTCCCTGGGCATATTTACAGAAACAAGGCTGGCCCTGGATCGGCATCCCAGCATCCTTTGAGATCTTACGCAGCTGGTCTGTGAAACCCCTGGCAAGACAATTCACACATGTTTATGAATTTAGTTAATGGAAATTGTAGTTGTAGATTTTGTGAATAAAAAGGTGTCCATATTAACATATTCACTAAGCAGAATAAAACTTATAATTGATGGAGGGCAGGTCAGAATTCTGTGATATAATTACTAAATTCAAAGTCTTCTGACTCAAAAAAGGGGGAGTATTACAATAATAATTTTTAACATCTAACATATCACCAGGTTACCTTTTATAATAATAAAATACTAAATTAAAAAATATATATATATTTAAATTTTGAACACGTTTCAGTAGATTAGCATAGAATACATGATCACAAGGACATTTTCTGGGCCATAATTTCCTGAAAAAAATGTGAATTTGAAAAGTGAAATCAAATTATGTATTGAAATGTACAAACACCACCTATTTAAGTACACAATCACACAGTTTGATATGAGAATAACTAATGTTTACTAATGTTGAGACAGTATTTCTTAGGACACTCAGACCACTGGTGTAGTTTTTTTTAAATTGTGCTATGTTTTTTAAAAGTGTTTTTGTATGTCTTTATGATGAATGTTGTGTCTTGTCAAAGAAAAAATTCTATCACCTGCTTATCTATTAATAAAGCTTATCAATTTATCTATCTGTGCAGTCTCACTTGAGGATCTCCTCTCGACACTGCCTCTGTGTGGCGAAACAGGCTATGGCCCACATCTTGATCTCGACTCCGGTGTGGAACTGCTTCCCTCTCATGTCCCAGACGCCGTGGCTGGGCGTGGCCACTGTGCGGTTCTGCAACGACGTCACAAATGAAAAACAAGGCAACATTACACACGCACTCTCCCATGTGGTGGTCATGGTAACAAATCATTTCAGAACATTTCAGTTTTTCTACCATACAGACGGCAATGATGTGCTATATACATCTACAAAACTACAATTCAACAGAAACTAATCACAACACAGAAAATATGTGCCTAAAACAGAGGAAATGTTTGATGTGAAAAAGAATTACAGTGTGATTTTTTTGCTATGTAATGGAAGGGTGTATAATTCTACAGTAAATAAGAGACATTTTAATGACTATTTTAAAGTGATAAGCCTAGCTATTGCCTACAATTTATGAACTAAAATTAAATTAGAAAAAAAAATATATATATATTAAAATATAACAAAATATACTATATAACTTTTTGGTTGGGGGTCTGTCACCTGCTTGTTTCTATGGATCATTGCTCTGCCTGGAATGTTCCACAATTTATTTATTCAATTAGAGGTGGTTTTATAGCTCAAAAATATCTAGAAAAACATGCATTCAGACTGTGAGTGGGATTGCCTCTCCACAGATCTAACCTGTAACTTGTCTTGTTTGGTATAAAGGTTTAATGCCATACTGTGAACCATTCCAGACAAAGCGATAACATTTCCATTTTCTAGGATAATGATGTATACAACAAGTTATAATTAAACCGACATCGTCATGGTTTAATTATAACCATTGTAGAATATTATAGCCAAAAGACCAGCATTTCCATGGCAACAAGCAAATGAAGCTGCTCCTCCAGGTCAAATAGACTCAGGTTTGCCTATATGCTTACTTATTTCAGTGCAATAAAAATAAATTAAAAAATAGACCATGTTTTTATTTCAGTCCATATTTAAGCTAAAAGTTACATGGTAGGACTGTAACTGTGTTACAAATAAATGTATAATTCAAATGTGTTGGGTGAAATGAATTGTTAAAACAACACAGTGGTTCAGTCTCAATAATCTGCATTCTTTATGAAATGTGCATAATTCTGATATATTTATTTTAACATTTGAAATTATATATTCCTTTCCATATTTCAGATCATTATAACTGACTTTGCAGCAGTATTATCAAGACTGAACCCTCACACCCAAGCCAAACAGACATGCCTCTGTGACCAGAAGCTGGTTAGTCCCCTGAGCGGTGCTGGTGGTGGGGTGGGTGACAGACTGGGCAGACTGGGCAGACTGGCACACAAACATAGAGAATGGTGGTGATTTAAAGGAAGGTACCATAAAGTGCTCAGTGCTCACCCTGCCGCCGTACTGCAGCATGGGGGCGGGTAGCACTCGCCCCGTCACGTGGGCCATCTCGTCTCGAACTCTGAACTGGAACTCCTGCACGAACGGGTCCGACTCGTAGTTGGCACTGCGCACCTGCAGAAAGGAGGAAGGATGGAGTCAGTACTAGGAAGGGTTTGCATGGGAGAAAGATTTGCATTTTCTTCAGGGGTGTAGTACCAGATTCTGGGCCCCTGGTTAGTATCAGGACTAACACCAAACTGAACCAGGTCTAAACAAGGCCTACCACAAGACTAACCCAGGACTACCACAAGATTTAACCAGGTCTAAAACAGGACTAAACCAGGTCTAAACCAGAACTAAACCAGGATTAAACCATCATGTTAATGGAGCCACACTACCTGTTGTCTAATGAACAAAAATACAATTTGTGGAAGGCTCACAAGGACTCCCTGCACTGGGCCCTGGGTAAACAGTACCCTTTACCCCCAGTCTGATGTCCCCGTTTGTATCCATGTCTGAAGTTATAGTATGAGAAAATGAGTAGTGGAGATTGAAGAGAAAGTCTGCCCCTACACAAAGAAATCAGAAATAACCAGAACTGAAGAAGCGAAATGCCTTCACTCAAAAAAACAAAAACTAAAAGTTTTTTTTCCATTTGACAGAATTCAGTTTTTCTTTTGCTATGGATATGGTCAAATTCATATCAATAGATCTTCACTCAATCCTACTCAAAGTGAACACTGCAGACATTTTCATCATGCTCCTTGCTTTCCAAAATGAAAAAAACACTGTATTAAAACAAAAGATAATAAAAATGTAACCGACAAAACTAAGTAGAAAATTAGAAACTAAAATAACACTATTATCTCAGTATTTCCTGGTTGGACTGGTTAATCGTATACAGTAGCTCTCATATTGTTAGGGTTTGGTCTGAAAAAATAATACACCTTAATCATCTCCAACACAGTGACGTCTGCAGCGTGCGCAATCCAGTCATTTTGCTCCCGAGTGCAGGGATGGGAAAGGAGCTAATATGGAACAGGTACACTAACCTACGCTAATCTGATAATAGCTGGTGGAGATGTGTGCTCCGTCAGGCTCTTTACAAACACTGACGCAGCCTCGCACACATTAGGGCCATTACAACAGGGGCATTTTGTTGACCCCAAACTAGACTTCTAATCAGTGCATGTGATGGACGGACATGTCTGTGTTAATAATATAAAATGAGAAGAGGAAAGAGAAATACAGAACTGCCTAGGCAATCCTTCAAAATGTTTTCTTTGAAATATTCAGATATTTTATTTTATTTTCAAGTTTAGTTAGTGCTGGCTTAGATCAGGTTTAGTCCTGGTTCAGACCTAATTAGTATTAATCTAGTCCTAGTTTAATCATCCTGTATTACGCAAAATTGACTCTTCTCTCAAACAGAAAACACAGTTCCACCTTGTAATGTCATGTGGTGATACAGGAAGTACTCTACTGTGTTTTTAAAATATATAAACACCTTCACTAGAATAATTTGGATAACTTCAGAGCCGAAATTTCCCATCTCTACTAAACAAACGGTAAAAGGTAGCTGTTAAAGGATTTTGAGCTTTAGAGATATACATAGACGAATAAAAGGTTACTCAAATATGTGTGAATGAAACAAAACACAATTCCATGTATGTATTAAAAAGCCATTAAACGCCCTCCCGAAGCTTTCCTCCACCCATAAGGAAAATCTGAAAAATCCTCCAGAGTGGGAGGTGGGGCTTGGGGGGAGCGGGTGAGAGACGGGCTCTAGAGCAATAACTGACAACCGACTGACAGCCACAACAGTCCAACAAGGTGCGGACTGGTGCGCTCCAGACTTGAAACAGAGTGGATATTTGTGGCTGTGCTTGTCACGTAATAACCCTGCATCTGACTCATTGGTGGCTGTTGGTCCAACCTGGAAATTCAAATGGACTGGCCATAGTTGATCCTAAAGAGGCCGTTACAGCTTTTGACCCAAAAGTCAGATTTTTAACAAATACAAAAAATAGCACTAAAATCCCCAAATAAGGCCAGGGATAGGTATATATTTCTATTTTAGAGCCTTTTAAACAGCTAATCAGCAAAAATTGATTTTGGTGTTTAGTGACCCTTTAAAGAGGCCACAACACTCTGGCTTAAAGTTCACAAGAGTCAATTCTGTGTAATATAGGACCTTTAAAGCATTTCATAGTTCATAGAAAGTAAATTTACTTTTACTTATTTTGTAGATTTTCATCTAGCAAAATTCTATTTGAGATTAGTAATGATAAGAATTTTAAATATTTGAAATTGCCAATTAAATGAACTATGGGATTTTAATTTTTTTAAAATTTGATTCTCAACTCACCAGGCGGCTGATCTCCTCTTGTCTGTCTGGAGCAGAGCGGGCAGTGGCTTTGATCATAGTGGAGGTCTGATTATCAGTCAGTTTCTTGATACACCTCTGGCCTGCTACAATATTACACACCTAGAAAAACAGAAAAAAGAAGAAAGGAAATTACAATTAAAGCCCCTGTACCTGATGTTTACCATCTTAATAACAGAACTAGTAATTTTTGCAGTGGTTCAAAGTTCTTCCTCACTTACCTTATGCATTCTAAGCATCCTAATTATTCACCATGGTGAGTTTATAAGCACTTTCCACAACATTTCGAGACCAGAACGAAGTTTGCCTGGTCATGGTAAAGCTGAGAACAACTAGCATGCTACCGTGCACCTGATTCTCAGACAGTAAAATGCTTTATAACAGATGGAGACAATACACAGTGGACCTCAACTGGAGCAAGATACATTTTGCTCAAATATATGGGGAAAACATGGGAAGAGGCCCTTTAAGTAGTATATTTTCTCTCTTTGGTAAAGGTTCATGCAGCCTTCTGTTTTAAACTCTTTTTGTCAGACTGAAAGAATGTCTAATTGTAAATGTATTTTCTCACCTCTAAAGGCAGGTAGGTGTGCTTCTGCTCCTGGCCCACTTGGAGACAGGGCAGGTGGGGGTACTTCAGCTGCAGGCTGTACTTCTCTCTGAAGTACTGGGCTACTGTGCGTTCTACGGTCTGGCCATTCTCAAGCTGCAGAGGGAACCTGTGAAGAATAGAGGTGATGTTTGAAAGCATATTTACAAAGTAATTACCAAGTGACTTTAAATTAAATGTAATCAGTGCTTTTTTGATCAGTAGAGATAAGTGACATTATTTCTGGAGAAATTTAATGGAGTGATCCTTAGAGGCTCATTTTGAAATATTCTGTAACATCTTGGTCAATTTAGAGACTGGAAATGTGCTATAAGTGTAACTATAAGTGTTAGAATAGCTTTGATGAATCATCTGAAATAACCACATAGGAAGACTTCAAAAAGCAGTAAGTATACCCAGCTCCCAAGAGCGGTTTAAAATCTCATTATGATGTAGACGGATGCATTAAAGGTGCACTTTGTAACTTTTCTGGTGGCAGCTCTGTCACCTTTAAAATGTTATTGCTTTACCTGGAATGTCCCATAGTGTGGCATTAAATGTATATACTACATCTACCCTTTATTGAATTAGATGTGCTTTTATTGCCTGACTAATATGCATTCTCACTATGAGCCGGGTCTCCTCTCCTCCACCTGGTGAGGCATCACCTGCTTCCATGGAGACAGATATGTTTAATCCCATACAGTGGGTCATTACAGGCTAAGCAATCTCTACGCGGGCAAGCATGTGGTGGACCCTCCACCTAAAAGCTTACATAGTGCACCTTTAATATCTGGTCACTACAGTGATACAAATGTCTTTAAAAGTGCTCATGCCAAAACAGCAGATGTGTTTAAATTCATTAAAATATGACTAATGTTGAGTGGATGTTAGTCAGATGATTCAGCCACTCCTCTGTAGTTAAGCAGCGGAAAGACGGTCATCCACCCCAACCTTCCCCATCCCCCTCTCTTTCTATCTCTCCTCTCTCTCTCCTTTCCTTCTCTTTCCTCTCTTGTCCTTTCTCCTGTCTCTCTCTCCTCCTCTCTTACATCTCTAGGATCCTTTCTCTAGTCGCTCTCCTCTCTACTCCCTCCTCCCCTATCCTCCCTTTTCTCCCCTCCCTTCCCATACACTCCTGGCCCCTCCCCACCTTTCTCCTCCTTTCTCCTCCTCCTCTCTTCACCCTCTCCTCCTCCGTCCTCCCATACACTCCCTGGTCTCCCGCTGGTCTCTCCTCCAGCCCACAGTCTGACTCACGTTTGGTGGCTGGCGGGCCGGCGTGTCACATTGCAGACGCGGTACTTCCTCCTCATGGTTCCACAGTGCGTCACCTCCACTTTCAAACCTAGACGATAATAAAAAAGAGCTGAAGTGAACACAGAGCGAGGAGTGTGTGGAGAAAGAAAGAGCTACGACAGGGAGTCCCAGTTCTAGTGATGAGTAGGATTGTCACGATAATTACTATATCGACTTATTGTTTAATATATGATGATAATGATAATAATAATACATTTCATTTATATAGCACTTTTCTATACACTCAAAGAATACAATTAAAAAGAGTACATATAAAAAACAAGGTAATCAGTCAAAATATAGGCATGATAATAAAAGCAGAGTAGACTTAAAAGAGGTTCTAAATAGATAGATTTTGAGCAGGGTCAATATTTGTGTATTTTTTATTTTTTATTTTCATTTTGTTTGCACTACTGGGAAATATTTGGTTATTTTTTTGGCTTTACAATACAACTTGAACAGTAAAAAGTTGAATTTATAACTTCTATGACTCATCACACATGCAGACTAAGTGCTGAAATGTCATTCTACTGTTTTTGTTTTTTTTCTTTTACTGCAGCTCATAATTTTTGTATTTAATTTAGTTTAGTAATGTAATGAGACAGGGACAGTGCACAATATGCGTAATATGTAACCTTAACAGCAGAGATGCAATGTACCAGGATGTAGCACTAGTGCCAATTTCCACCTGCAGTCTCTGGGCAGGCTGATGTTATAGTTCATAAAAATCAAACACAAAGAAAATGTCTTTGCAGTGACTGGACAATCATAAAAGTTCTGTTCATCATTCACACCCAGTTCTCTCAGCAGCTTAAAATCCTCATCCATCAATTCATTCAATATTCTAGATTTAGATGAGTTTTTGTGGTTTAAATCTGCTCTTGGGTTGTTGTGGCATATATTAGTTTCAGTATCATCGTTTATTGTCTATATTTACTTCAGCAATATATCACACTTTAAAATTTATTATTGTGACAGACCTAGTAATGGGATGTCCAAATTGGGCACACTATAGCTTTAAGAGCAGATGTTTGATTGATTTTTCTAATTATGATTTGGTTTGGTGGGATATTTATCATAGTTTTACATCAGTTAAGTGGCAGTTTATGAAGGAAAGTTCTAGTAAGTTCTAAAACTGAATACCTCTTTTAATGTGGAAAACAGAATCCAAAATGCATGGACAATTTGTTCAAAGGCATTTTTCTAACAGTTTAAACCTTCATTTAACAAAGTAAGTGTGTACTCATTCATTTTTATTTGCCTTATGATAACTATTGTGCAACTGAGATACATTTTGGCCCTTGTTTACGTAATGGTTGCTAGATAACAGCTATGTTACTACCTCCACATGCGTCATAACTGCTGCCCATGTCCAAACAGGAAGTAAAAATATAAACTTCGCATAAATTAGGAAAAAAAAGACGACTTTTTTTTTTTTTAGTAAATTCTTAAATGTAATTATGTTAACTATGATTTATTATTGATGTCTTTTTATAAATAATATGCATTTTAAGATTTAAGTTTCAAGTTTAGATGATTTTAAACACATTTCTCAGATAAGGTTCGTAAAATGACTTTAAATAAAGACATAAATATAAAAAGAAGCCAGATTTTGAACAGTTCTTTAAAAATGAACAAACCCCAAAAGGTATGTCTCTGAAATACATATCTTAAGTACAGAGACAGAGTGTGTTAAATGGACTAAATGAGCCATAGTGAGACATAGTATTCAGCTCCAGTCAAATAAAACTCACAAGACTAGCAGCTATAGGGGTGAATTTGAACATGTTATGATCAAAATGACGAGGCTCAAAGAAGCAATTACAGAGAGAATTCTTCAGTGTAAAATCAACTGGAGCCAGAGACGATGGAGCCTGCAGTGACCCCATGCTCACTTCCTATTTGAAACGTGGCAGCTAGCAGGTCAGCTATGTCCATTTGTATGTACAGACTACGGTGTGGACAGTGGTCCTCGCTCACCTTTGATTTCTTTGGTGAATTTGACCCTGTGGGAGTCTGTGAGGGGGCGAGGCTGCTCGTCGATGTTGTGGATGTCCAGGACCTCACACATGAACTGGATGACGGGCTGGGCCTTGTAGAAAGCAGTGGCAGATACTATAACGAAAGAGCACAAAAACATACATATTAAAGACCTTAAATCATAATTAAAATCACAAATATTCAAGTGATTATTTGCACAGAAAACAAACTAACAGATGAAATGAAAGTAAAATGAATGTTCAACACGAAAAATCTTTCACACAACAATTTTTGACCCATGGAAAATCTGAGAAGCTCATAAAACACACTTAAATGTTTGTTTAAATACAGGTAATTGTTTTTCCTCACTAATGTAGTATTTGTAATCTTTGGGTGGGACAATCTTGCCTGGCAATCCAAAATATTTCTATATATTTGATTGATTGTGTGGTCCCCACAAATTTAAAATACAAAATTAGGAGAAAATAATCAAAATCGGCCCAAAAATATCAGCAGAGTTTATCGGCTGTTTGTTGGTATGGAGTCTAAACAATCAGCATCGGCATCAGCCATGAAAAAAAAAGTCATTTAAAGGTCCTACCTATATTACACAAAATTGACTCTTGTGAGATTTTCATGTTATAATGCTGTTACCTCCTCAAAAAACATACCTGGAGTGATGTTTTGTTTCATTCATATATTTGAATAATCCTTTATTGTTAGGCTCTCTACATCTCCAAAGCTCAAATATGCAGGATTTGTGTGTTAAACATGTATGAATGAAACAAAACACAACTCTAGGCATGTTTTTGATGAATAAACAACAATTATAACATAGATCAGAAAATAGTGTAATATGGGCAATTTAAAAAGTATTCTGCCACTATAGAACGATCATGACCCAGAGGTTGACTCAGTTGTTCCACCGCACTTTCGTTTTACATTGATTTGGCTACTGTATCGTTATGAGCATTTTGCACTACTACCAAAACCATGGCAGATTTCCATGGTAACACAAATTTTTTTTGCGAGAATTTTGGCTAGAGAAGAGAATAAAAACTCAACTGCCAATGTGTGAGTAATAACAAACAATCCAATAATGAGTCTAATATTAGTAAATTCTAAACAGTCAAACCTAAACTAGACACAACACTGACTGCAGGATCTTTTATTGAATGTTACTTGAGGGACAAGGGGGGGCATTTTGATGAGGCATTTAAAACCTATGACAGGAAATGACATCACCTCCGCATGTTATTTCCACTTTCTAGTTTTATATTGTGTTTTGATTTGTGAGTCATTCTTGTAGATGTAGATTTGAAAGGTTTTACATTTTAAATATTATATTCATTCAGAGTATTGTAG